CCTGAAATCACGTATTTTTTACACAGTTATTTGAACCTTGAAACCAAGAAAGAAGATTGCATCCAACAGCCAAAATTATTAAATTTCATTTAACAAATACGAAATTTCATTAAAAATTTTCTTAAATAACACATAAATTATTAAAATGTCTGATTTTATTCCTTTGGATTCATGAAATGACCAGTACTTATTATACATAATTAATAAAATATTAAATAGTTATCTTGAGAATCAGATCAACATCTATTACCAGAACCAGGATTGCAAGAAATTATTTCCTAAACTATTCATTGAATCAAATTAAAATTATTAGAGATCACTGTGACGAAGATTATTTCAAATTGCACAACTAAGAATTAATTTTTGAAGCTACAAATCTCACAGTATAAACAATAATTACTTTCAGTCTTCACTAAAAAAGTCAAATTTGTAAAAGTTATGTATGATTCGATTTTTTATAATTTTTACTTCCTTTTACTAAGTACAGGAAGTATTGCAACCGCAAAATATTCCGGGTCAGAAGAGATTTCTTCGTACGTACATATGTATCTAGCATAACTCAAAAAAGATTAGCCATAGAACATTGAAATTTGCATAACTTGCACTGCTAAAACATATAGTTGTGCACCTCCCTTTTTCGTTGCAGTCGGCCACACCCAACGTATGTAAATTAATATGTATATATCGTGTTTTAACCGAAAGTTTCCTGCAACTAGTCATTCGTAAACTAGGCAACATTTAATATTTAGTAACTTGTGATTGGCTACACTTTGGATAGAGATATGAAATTAGAACTATGCTGGTATTGCAGTTCTCTGTAATATAATACATTCTATGATTATAAATAAATAGTTTCTAAAATCTAAAAGTGCACCCTCATTATTTTATATACGTGAAGTTTATTGAACATGTATTTGAAATTTGAAATTTTATTTAAAGGGTATTTTTTTAATATTTAGAAGTTCTAGGAAGTAGTTCTATGTACTGCATTGCATACGATAAGGGTAAGCGGTAATAATTGGCAGTACTCAAGAAGAACATTTGCAGTGGCCCGCATTTGTTTTCGGAAACCTGCGCTTTTGAACTTTATTTGCATTTTCAGTTATCAAGTATTAACGCAAATGATTTTATTTTTCCTTCACGTATACTACTGATTAACATTTTAAAAAAAGTTATTCGGAACGGTTTCGGTTTTAAAAAAAAAATTGTTTTTTCAAATAGTTACGAAATTGAACTCACATAACTGTTCGGAAATATTGAACAAACAGTTTATCTGTAATAAAAACATGAAAATAACTGAACATTTAATATTTCATCGACTATTCTTTAGCTAAAACTACATTTTTTATTCTCTATTATTATTTATACACTTTTTATGCGATTTAATTAATGTTTTCGTGTAAAAAAAATCTTCCATTCTTCTGCAATAATCTCTTTAAGTAGAGCTTTCGAAGAAATGTCACATTTCCTTACTCTTTTCTCCAACTCAGTCCATACTGTTGGATATGTTATTATCTGTGTAACTCGAGGAATCTGTGTAACTCAGTTGTTGGAGGACAGGACAACTACAAACGAACATTTTGTATGTTTAGGATCGTTATCCTGGTAGAACTTGAATGTGTTTTGCATTCCAAGTTTTCTTGCCGCTGTTTTCAACTTTTCTTTAAGAATATTTATATATTTAGATTCACATTACTTTCTATAAAAACTAATTTCTCATTCCAGAGACTACGATGTATCCTAAAGGCATTATGCCGCTAACCTCTAGAGTAGCAGGTGGTAGTAGGTTTTTCGGATGCAATTCTTCATCCGGCTTTCGCCACGTAGCAATTGGTCCATCGGACCTATTTGACTCGTCTGCAAATATAATATTGTTTCAATGTGATAAATCTTCGCTTACAATGGAATTTTACGAATGCGACGCATATTTTTCTTTTTTCCTTGTTATTGACAAAAAATTCCTTTGTTGCTGATTGCTCATTATAGCTTCTATGTGCTCTATAGCCTCTTCTGACAGTTTCGTGATTAACTTTTATTGCAAACTGTTCTTTTAAATCTGTTGTATTTGCCATGTTCACTTCAGATAGGGATCTATTAATATATTTTGCTGAATAAGTAATAATTCCTAAACGCAGACGATAATTCTTGTAGTGTATTTAATTTAAAGCAAAAACATGGCTAGAAACATCGCCTGTCAAAACATCATAATAAAACTTTCAAGTGTTCGAATTATAATGTGAGTTACTGATTAATACATTTTGAATAAATTATTTCATTACAAGGAATACTTTCATAATATTTATTTTGTAAAAGGCAAGGTTTAAAATAAAGAAAACATAATATATTAGAAAAAAAAAATTGAGGGTTTTTTTCCCCCTGTGTTTTAATATTTTAATATAATACCTATGCAAATAAATTTCAAGCATACAAATGTCCAAAAACAAATGTGAGCCACTGTAAATCTTCCTTTATAAGAAGACGGCAAGGTGTCATCTTAGAATGATGCTAATTGTTACAAAAGTATTAGCTGAGCTGAGCATGCATAATATTTGGGTTTATGTAAGTTTTATACTCGTTACGAAGAAATAAAATTAAACAAGTTTCGCTCCCGTAACGTGAAAATCGATCGGGATTTTTAATTTCAATATTTGCAGTTTTTGATGTCATTTTCAACTTGCTTTAGGGATCCGTTAATTAAGTTACAATAATTCGAAAAAATAAGTTTAAATGAAGAATAGCAAAAAATGCATATAATTTAATCTGTCGTAAAAAGCAGTCATGAAATATCCTCATTAGATTTTTACAATAAGTAAATTTTAATAAAAATGCTTAATGTATGTTATTAATCACTTTCGCTTTAAAAGTTAGAAATTTATTTAGAAAATTTTGAGCTTAATAACAAATTATGTCGCGTAATAAATCGAGAGCGTCGAAGTCCACCTTTTTCAGTTAAACAGTCTCATCTCACGCTGTAAATGGTTGCAATTTCTCCAAGGTTCCGCAATAAACAAAGTTAACTCTTTTTTTTTTTTTTTTTTTTTCTTAAATAGGGCTTGCTTAATTATTTCCCGTTTAATCGGGAGGTGATTATATTTGCCCCAAGCGCCCTTAAAAAGCTCTTAAAAGTCCATTCTTCCATTGAAAAAACGCAAATTTCAGGCAAATTTTTTAATATTTACATTTATACATAAAAAATACAATTTGTGCTTTTGATTTTGCTAAATTTTATAACAAAAACGAATTCAGAAACTTATTGCTACCTTCAGTGTATTTGCAATCTCATATTTTTAAATATCACCAGATGAATACTTCGAATTTTTGAGTGACATTTTCATTCCTATGTTTTAGCTGTTAAAACTTCCTAAATGATTTTGTTTTCTTTTAAAGATTCTGACGAGATTTGAAACCTTTTTCGCTTTTACATATTAAAATCCCTCAAGATTTTTTTTTTTTTTTTTTTTTTTTTTTTTTTTTCGTTTAATGTTCTTTAGAGAATAAGTGTCCAAAATCTGAAGCACTTTTCCAATTTAATTGTTCTTTACAGAAAAGTGTCTTTCAAAAGCTTCTTTTACTCCTTCCATTTCCTCCAGGAGTTTTGAAGAAGATAATTTCAGAATTGCAGATATTTGCTTTCTCTTGAAAATTCTCCAGAATTGCAGATATTTTTTTTTCTCATTTATGTAACAATTTTATTTTAAATCTACGTTATATGTGAAAGTCCTTGAAAATTTACGTAATTTTCCTTTATATAGCGAAATCTATTGCCGCATGTGAAAAAAGGCGAATAGTATTATAACGTAATAAATTTAATTTTGAAGAGTATTTTTGGGATCCATTAACGAATCTCTCAAAGATAATTTTAATATAAACATTAAATTACTTAGTTTACAATTTAAAAAAGGAAATTGTCTTAAATGTGTTGAAAATATTAGATTTAAGCAACTCTTTTCTTTGACCTTGCTCCCCATAAAAATGATTTAAATAATTTATGTAATTTAGTTGCTATTAAATCTTACTAAAAATTACAGCAATATCTTTGCTTTTAATCTGTAATTTCATTCTGAGCCGAAAAAAATTTTAAATAAAAATTCTTTTTAATATTATTTTTTTTTTTTTATAAATAATCTTCACGAATTTATTAGTCCAAAGTGGCAATTTGCTCTGAAGAACTATTATTTTCGTGAAGAACTATTATTTGGTGCTGCTGCGCGATGCGCTAGCCACTACGCCACCGGGCCTCACACTTTTCAAATTGTTGCCACCAAATATTATCGTACTGTATTATATTTAAAGAAATTAAATAATGAAGAATTTGCATAAATGCATTTATGTTTCTAGCATTGTGATAAAACAACGGTACCTAGAGCTATCCAGTTTTCAATAACGTAATCCTACTGCAAATATGGGCATCTGGAAGCCCAAATTTAAAATTTGGTATTTGTTTTATTATTAATTTCATATTTTGTAAAAATTTAACGAATTTTTGATTAACAAACTCAACGATTTCAAAGCGAGCAAGGGGAACGTTGTACAGAAAAAAAAATTTTTATCTCCAGCTTATTATTATCCATATCTCATTATTTTCCGATACACGAGAGACTGTGTATCGGAAATTCTAAAGATATGCTCAATTTAAAATTATTTTGCGATATTGCTCTTGAACTGATTTTATGGTTTAAATGCGAAGAACATGATATTTAATAAAAGAAAAAAGGTAACACACAAAATAGTTTAAAAAAAAAAAAAAAAAAAAAAAAAACGCCCCTTTGAACGTAATTTAAAATCTGAAACCTTTCAGATTTTCTTTTTTCTTCCATTTGTTTTCGAGAGAAACATTTAAAATAAAAATTAAGTCTTTTATCAGACTGGGCCCGGAAAATGGAAATAACAATTCTAAATGTGTGAACCATCCCGCCTTTTGACAGGTTATTCAGTTTGGAAAGCCCCTGCGCAAGACGCATTGCGCGTTTGTAGAACTGAAACTCTCGGGCAATTTGCGTCATCACTTTCTCTCTCTCTCCGAAAACAGAAACACTTCCTTCCGCTAAAGATTGTGGATAAGTGCAGGAGTCGCCTTTCTTCCACCTGTAAGTCTTCAGTTGCTGACGTAAGACTTAAGCTGATAAGATTTCGTCACTTATCTTCAGTCTCTTTACAGGTAAGATCCAACGTTCTGTTTCTCGCGTTTTTGAAAGGGGCTAGTCAAGAGATAATTTGGGAAGAAATTTAGTGTCCTTTCGATGAAGGAGAGGTGTTTCCGCCCAAAAGAGGTTTCAGAGTAAATATTTTCTGTATTACTAATGCCAACGCGCAGTAGTGTTTCCCAGTGAAAATTGAATGTGGATTTTTATCACTTTCAGTAGCAAAATTCTGGAATTACAAATAGAATTTTTGTTCTAAATAAGTAAAATAAATAAAAATCTCCCCCCCCCCTCTATAGCTTTGCAACTTTAAAATTTATTTTATCTAAGCAAAGCATTGATAATTGCGAGAAAATATACTCAGAAAGTTGTAAAAATAAATTTTAAGAGAAATGCATAAAATAAACGCAGTGCTCAGTTAGTTTTTCCTCGGAAAGCTTTTTTAAAATTTAGTTTAATGTTTGAAATCTAAATTTATACATAAGGCATAGCATTTTTTTTTTTTAAATTATTATTATTTTTTGTTGGAGATGCATTTATTATTGTTACTATTATTATACTAGGACGTAATCTTTGAGCATTTATCTTGTTAATTGTCATTAACATGATGCATCTATGTATACATCTATTTATCTTTTTCTTTCTTTCTATGTGTGTATATATAAGCAAAAAAGTAAAATGATTGTCATTTACCAATGATAAATAAAAAATAACTGAATTAATATTCGAAAGATGACCAATAATTCAAGCTGAACGTTGCAATAGTTAATACAATATAATAATTTTTTAAGTTAAAAATATAAATAAGAATATATAAATGCAAAAATAGTGTAAAGTTTTCGTGCGACTATGTGGTATCAAAGGAGAGTAAAATCGCTAAATTATATCATAGAATCTATAATATTCATTGTTCATGTAAAGTAAAAAATATTTAAAGATAAGCAGCTAATTTTCCTATTATTGATGAATTCAATTTAATTTTCAGGAGATATTTTATTTGTTTGTGGATAACAATTAATAGTTATCCATTTACAATAATCAACATTAATTCCTATTTTCAAGAATCTATATTTATTTATTTATTTTAACGTACAGAAATTTACATTTATTCAATTACAATTATGTCATCTTCTGAAACATAGCCATAAAGCTCTAAACTTAGAATTCCAGCCTGAATTTCTTGCGACTCCATTTGCTGTAGACTATTGGCTCTGATATATCATGTCTAGCAATACAGCTCTCCTTAAACGAGTACTTCTTGTCCTTGTAGCCAACAAATAGTACGTTGTAGTTGTCAGTGATTTCATCCTCCCAAGAATTCTTCATTTAAGTCACGATCTTTTGCAAAATTGTCGTACTCGAATTGCCATTTTCGGACATTTAACTTCCTTTTCGGTGAAAGCTGTATGATTCTTGCCCCGGGTATCTTCTATAATTTCTTTCTTCTAATTGATGGGATAGCACTTTTTTTTTTTTTTTTTTTTTTTTTTTTTGTCTTACTTCAAAATGTTATTCCATTTAAATTTTTGAAAACTTACTAGACTGGAATGGCAACACAAACTATTAAGAATGATGGACTACACGAAAATTTCAGGTACAAAACTCAGAAAATTCTTTATTTTACACGAGTATTTTAAGCACGTTTGATATAACACAAGACATATTAAATTATTAAGATTCTTATAGCCACAATTACATCTCTTCAGTATTAAGTGCATGTTGAATCTGTACTCCAGATGATAATTTAGTAATAAGTCTGCCTGACGAGTTTAACTAGGGCTTATTTTACGAATTGGTCCTATTTTCGGGAAAATTCAGCATCAGACATTCATGGCTGCCTATTTTAGATTGAATGCGTTTGCGGAGAAATTTATATGGGGAAATGATTCGCATTTACATTACTTATGAATAATTTAATTTTTGAAAAATTTATCAATGGATATTCTTATTAACTAAATTCAGTTCTTAATAATTCATTTAATTTAATTGCACATGTATTCTCGTTATGTCATTAAATGCTTAGAAATCGTATTTCTTTGGAAGAAATACATTCAAAATGTTAAATCTTGAATAATGCATCGGCTTAATATTTAATAATGACTATAATATAAAAAACATGACAGTGATCGGAAAAGTAACTTTATTCATAAATTTACACGTAAAAAAAAGGAAGTCATGTGCATACAAGTATAATTTAAGGCGAAAATGATTCAAATTCAAGTGATGCATTTTACTTAGAATTCACAATAAACCCTTGAAGTTAGAGCCATTTTTCTGTTTGCATAGATAAATGCGATGACATATATTCGCAGAAATACGTTACAGAACTCCCCTAAAACGGCAGAATAATTTCCATTCGAACCTTTATTTATAGTTTTTTAAACTTTTCAACCTTAAAAGCTATCTGTGACTGCGCATCGAAAGAAACATTTCTGAGAATCTTCGCTTTCGGGATACCTGATTAGTTGACATACGCGTAAACCAATTTTTTGGTGTACGAACGGCTTCAAGTAAAACATTTTCGCTTGATTTGCAAAATGGCGCACGTAGTACATAGCCGAGACATCGGTTCAAGCGAGATATTTTCCAGCTAGGAACCTTCCCGTTTAAACCAATGGTAGAAGAAGAGAAAGAAACTTGTTTTTCTTCAAATTTCTTTTAGCGTTGCTCGTCGCTACATGTGATAACACCATGAAGCGTGTTTAAACTACCCGCTGTTAAAGTTTACCGCTGTACCTATGCTACACCAAAGAACGTCTGTCTGAACATCTGTCCTCTGTTTTAAATAATTCCGTACGAAGACAGTGAGGAGTCCGGAGTCGTTAGACTTAACGGCATCCTGGGGACCAAAGGTCGCCTAGGAAGTTATCCTGTCTTTGAATAATGATTTTAGCTTTTTCACTGATGTGAAAACCGTGTATGCAGTTGCGCCTTCGTGTTAAAAATGAGCTGAAATTACAAATTTGAATCCTCAATTATAATAAAACTATCTGTAAATTTATGAATAAAGCGATTTTTGGATCACCCTGTATAACATTTACATGAAATAACATTTCGAGATGTTTTGAAGTAATCAAATTCCTAATTTATAGTGCAACTTATAGCGCATAAAGCACTATATAGTTGCACTATATGAAGCGTGTTAAAATTTAGTTTACAGTGCGTAAAGCACATGAGTTAAGTACTTATGTACTTACTGTTTTTAATTAGCGAGTTTAGCATCTTGGTAAAGTAAAAAGTTTTGCCACTGGGAAAAATTTGTTAGGTCTTGTACACAAGCAGTTCAATGAAATAAATGCATAGCTACATGAATAATTAAGTCCCCCCCCCCTTTTTTTTTTTCACTAAATAAAAGCATAAGTCTTCACGGGACGATCACTTATGATGAAATAGTATTATAGAATATTTTCGCTTTTACCGTTTGGCGCTGCTATTTTTAACAGCTCAGTCGTTTTCAATATGTGATTTTATGTTCTGTATCCTGAATTTACTAGCTTAGTAACATGCCACTGCAATCAATGATAAATATCCTGAATTCTTGGCTGTTATTTCTTAGCTAATAGGCTAATCGTAACTGTTTAGCTTTAAATTGTTTCAAATATTAAACTGGAATCAAGATACGCAGATGGTAGATTTTAAGTGTTTATATTTATTACTTTCTGAAATTTCATGGCTAAAGTCTCTTAGGAGTTAAACTATAATTTAAAAATTCCGAGTAGCAAATTTATTTATTTACACTCATGTTCATAAATTAAGGATAATTCGGAGTCACGCGGAAATAGAACTCTAAATTATATATATCACCTGTAAAATCACTACACACATCCTCAAGAATCATATGCAAATTTCAGGAAGTAGCTAGATGACACCGATGGTACGTCACAATGACGAGACTGTAAGAGAGTGATATATAAGGAATACAGGCAAAAAAGTAAAATTGTTCGCAGGCGCTTTATAAGCATTTCAGTGCAATAACCGAATAGTTATGACACAAAGGACGCATTTGGATGATTTTTTACGTGGTGGAATTATCGGCCGTCTGGAATGTGGGCGTACCCAACTGGAAGTATCAGACGAACTTGGAATTGCCCAGAGTGTCATCTTCAGGCTTTAGCAACGATTCCAAGATGATGGTAATGTGAGTAGACGTTACAGCACAGGTCGGCCCAGAGTTACAACGCCGAATGAGGACCGGTATTTGGCAGTTACTGCCAAAAGAAACAGGCGGAGCACAGCCTCAGACCTGTCTCGTCAGCTCTCTTCAGCCACTGGTACGACAATTTCAAGGCAGACCGTGTACAGACGCTTAGGGCAGATTGGTCTATATGTTCTATATGCTCGTAGAACTGTCAGATGCGTTCCACTTACTGCAACTCACTGCAGCCTTTGTGGACACCGCAACAGTGGGCTTGTGTGATGTTTTCCGACGAGTTCAGGTTTAGCTTGCAGTCTGATTCTCGCCGGACTTTCATACGGAGAGCTCCAGGTACCCGTTACCACCAAGAAAACATCATTGAACGCAACACCGTAACGGTGTCGTTACGGTGGTGCAGGAGTGCTCGTTTGGAGTGGAATTATTCTGGGTTCCAGAACTGATCTGCATGTTCAAATTGGAACCATGACAAGCATGACTATCGGGACGTCATTCTGGACCAACATGTAGGTTTGTTTCCCAGCGCCATGGGCGCACAATTTGTGTTTATGGATGACAACGCCCGTTCTCACCGTGCAACATCGTAAGCGAATGCCTTCAATCGGAGGATATCACCCGTATGAACTGGCCAGCATTCTCACCGGACTTGAATCCAGTAGAGCACGTGTGGGATATGCTTGGCCGACGAGTTGCAGCCCGTCAACCTCCTCCTACATGTCTACCGGAACTTCGGAGAGCATTGCTCTTTGAGTGATGTAATATCCCCCAAGATCAGATCGATAATTTGATACTCAGCATGCCTAGGCGTTGTACGGACTGTTTTGTATCGTCTGGGAGACATACAATGCATTAACAATCATACCAACCATGTAATATTGGTTTTTTGTAAATAGGTGTTTTTTGTAATTTGCTCCAGGGAGAAAAAATCGCTAATTTTTTTAATAATATAAAACATATAGCATCTTTTTTTGTTCTTTACCTTTTGTTTAATAAATAAGCTTTACAAATGAGTCAAATTTGTTTTGCTTCTAACTCTTCCTTTGCCTGATTTTGCATTATCCTTAATTTATGGACATGAGTGTATTATAATTATTTTTATTTATTTTATCAAATAATAATTTATTTATAATTAATTAATTAATTTCATTGAATAATAATTTATTTATTTACCTTATTAAATAATTTAATATAATTATTATTAGTCCAAAGGATCTTTTGTCCCTGAAGAACTATTGTTTTCGTGTTGCGATTTTGCGTTGGTTCACTATAAATGTTCGTTTCACTTTTCAAACTGTTGCCACCAAATGTTAGAGTCCTGCATTATATTTGAAGAAATTAAATAATGAAAAATCTGCATAAATATATGTATATTTCTCGCACTGTGATAAAACAACGGTACATGGAGCCATCGAATTTTGAATGATGTAATCCTACTGCGAATATGGGCATGTGGAAGCCCAAATTTGAAATTTGGAATTTGTTTTATGATCGATTTCATATTTTCTAAAACTTTAGCGAATTTTTGATTAACAAACTCAAGGATTACAAAGCGAGCAATGGCAACGTTTTACAGAAAAAACATTTTTATCTCCAGCGTGCGAGACTTTATATCGGAAATTCTAAAGCGGGGGATATGCTCAATTAAAAACTATTTTGTGATATTGCTCTTAAACTGAATTTTATGGTTTAGTGCGGAAAATGTGATATTTAATAAATAAAGGTAACAGGCAAAATGTTAAAAAAAGCCCATTTGGACGCAATTTAAAATCTGAAACCTTCAGATTTTTATCCTTTTTTTATTTTTTTAAATTTTTATTATAATTTTGGTTTAAGGTTTTGGCACAAGTAGTAGAAGAATGAAACGGTAAGTCAGGTAACCAACTTGGCGGAATCCAATATTTTTTTTTTCCCACAAAATGGAAGACGTTTTTCGATCCTTCATAGTTCAAAATTGCTAGATATTATAACAGAAAAGATGTCGCGTTTCGTTACGAAGAGCGTTATCCTGTCTAGTAAGGGAGAAAGGCATCAACTCTAAGATACAATAATAATCAACCAAATCTGTTTTAAGCTCATGGAGTGAATTTGTAAATTTCTTACAAACCATGCCGCTTTCGTGATAGTTCTCAAATCAGTAGTTTGTAAAATGGGTATTTTCTTTCGAAAACTTCAAGCCATCGCTCCCCATGTTATAATCGGTCTTATCATAGTTAGATAAAAGAGTCTTCTTTTGAGAGTGGTAGTTTATCGTCTCATGCCAGTGTAAATACTTCATTTATCTTGCGTAAGGTACGAGATTTATAATGTATAATGTATGGCAGCAGAAACGTCTTTTATCAATTGACTAATTAATAAAAGTTGATATAAATGCGAGTAAAAGCGAATACAACGGCAGTGCTAGTGCTAAATTGTTTGTTATATGGTACGATCTTTGAGTTTTCTAAATTCTAAAAGTTCTGCCTCCTGGTCTGCGACACCGGTTCTGGCGTCACCCTGAAGACTTTTTACTATCGAAAAGAGTCAAAATATTAACTAATAAGATGCTTGCATTACATTTAAATGGCTAAGCTTGTCATTCTTTCCAAAGTAAACATGTGAAAGAAAATAACGATCAACGGACCTGTCATAATAAGACTGGTTACTGTTCTTGTTTCGAAATTGTATGCTTATTATTTTTAAATGGCTAAACGCTCATTCTTTCCAAAGTAAGCATGTCAAAGAGTAACGATCAACGGACTTGTCATAATTAGATTGGCTACCGTTCTTGTTTCGAAATTCTATGCTTATTATTTTTAAATGGCTAAACGGCCATTCATTCTAAAGTAAGCATGTCAAAGAAATAACGATCAACGGACCTGTCGTTATTAGACTGGCTACCGTTCTTGTTTCGAAACTGCATATTTGCATCACTCAAACTACTTTTTGAAAATCATGCTGTTCTTTGCAGTCATCACGCAAAAAAGTATTTTCAGCATTTCTGTTTTCTCACGTACGGGAATACTTCGCTTTAGTACGTTTCGAAAACGTCATTGCGCTTTTTTCCTTCTTTCAATTCGGGAATAATCTTCCATTCAATTACCACCAGGGCTGTGGAGTCGGTAGGGAAAATGACCGACTCCGACTTCTGAAATTTTAAATTTAAAGAATCCGACTTCTTCATATACATGTAAACATATACACATCTATTACGGCTTATTTTTGTTAATATAAAAGAAGTAATAGATGCTACAGAGAAAAAAAACGATAACAAATTATTTATATTAATTCGCATTTGTTATGAAATAGAAAAACTGGCATTAGTAATTTCTAAGAAACAGTATAGCTTGGGCAAGATTTTCTTTGTTGGAGGACCGTAGATCTGGGAACAGTCTTTGAAGATTAACTTGAGTAGGAGGAAGAGCTGTTACTGTTAAGGCTGCTTCTTTTAACTTTTCAGGTAGATTTTTATGAATTCTAAAAGAGGTGTCTTGCAAGAGGAATCATATTTCTCTATTTCTTCAAAGACTGTGTAGAAATAATGTTTGTATTTTTTTATTTTTATATCTCTAAGCTCTTGCTCTTTAATTTTCATTCGCTTTGCCTTAACCTTTTCAATATTATCCAAATATTTCTCGAAATATAATTCGTCACTAGAAGAGGATTATAGAAACACATGCAAAATAAACAGTTGAAATGGCTGCAATTTGGCTGTACTGATTTGAATACTTCAATTGTTCTGAGAATAAGTTCATTCTTCGTGAAAGTTCATAGATGGCTTTCTTTGCCTTTTTAATTTGTTGGAGTAGCGTTGTTCCCCATATTTCTCATCAACTGAAAATATCTGGTGAATAGTTGCAAAGAGATTGCTACAACAACATCCGCCAGCCAGCACGACACATAAACTCTAACATAGAAGTTGTCACCGAAAGCTAAAGTTGCTCGAAACTGCCATCCTCCATCCTGAAACTGCCATCTTGAAATCAATTCGATTCCATTCCAAGCTCTGTAATAGCTGCTGGTGTTGCCCGATGCGTATGCCTGGAGTACTGATTTCTGAAAGTTATGTAATTCAAAATCATGTAAAATCTTAATAATTCTTCCTTCCATTACAATGTATTAAGTAAATATAATTACGCCCAATGCTTTCTTTTATGGTTCAGAAATTTTAATAAAAAGAAGTGTTTGTTCCGTAGATCAATCTTATTAATTCCCAGATAATTTTGACATAACAATCGTCCATGCAAAATAAACAGTTGTTATAGCTATAATAAAAATTTTAAAAAGCAGTGCTATAAATACATATACTAACATTTCTTTCACAGAATTATGGCTGAGATTCCCGTAGATTCTTTGCTACAGTGCCTCGTGGAATGTTCCCAGAAAGCAGCAAAGATAGCTCAGATTTTTCGAGACGAGGAGGACCTATTTGGATTGCTGGTGGAGAGGAAATCAGATATAAAGAAGAATAAACAGCTGATCCAAGATTATAAGACACTGGCTGACGTACTGGTGCAAGAGACCATCAAGAAGGATGTCGGCGAAAAAGTAAGTAGTATCTCCTCCACGGTGCATATTTACGAAACTGATGATGATGAGGTAATAATAAGGATATCAGTGTATAGCTTAATAATAGTCTGTACAAAGAAAACAATGAAGTAAAAGAGGTGATGCATAAATTGTTGCATTGTTAAACACATGAAATCTTTCCTTGCGGAATCCAGACATTATGAAGCATTCGGACACTTCCTCTGAAAATTATAAGATTTGATGACATAACTTCACTTCTATTGGTATCAATTCCAAATGCCGTACTTTTGGTTACTTTTCACTCTTCTTTGTATTGCTCAGAAAGTCATATATAAGGTAATTACACTGGTGTGCAAAAATTAAGGACAGGACGGTTTTTTCAATATAACTTTGTACAAAAGCTTTCCAAATCAACACATTTAATACCGTAAGATCCCCAATACGTAAGGACATGAGTAATGTAAGCAACACTTACTAAAAGAGAAATCAGAGGGATAAAAAAAAAGCTTTATTGAAAAAGTAGCATGGAGCGCAATGCGACTGAAGGCCGAAACATCCCTGTGATGGGTGTCCAGCAAGAAACATCCGGTCTTTAATAGGGGATATGATCTCCCCTGACTGCTATGCAAGTTTCACAGCGTCTGCCCATGCTGAGAATGAGGATGTCAATGAGTTGTTGAGACATTGCTGCCCATTCGTCTTGCAGCGCCAATCGAAGCTCCGGAATCGTTACTGGTGGTAAGGTACGAGCTGCCAAGCGTCTGCCTAGAAAATCCCATACATGCTCGATGGGACTGAGATCCGGAGATCGTGCCGGCCAATCCATACGTTCGGCAACTACTGTGCGATGACATGATGCATTGTCGTCCATGAAAAGGAACTGCGGACCCATAGCGCCTCTAAAAAGACGCACATATGGAAGAAGAATCTCGTTACAATAACGGGTCCCGTTGGCTGAACCTGCGTCGAAGATGTGAAGGTCTGTATGACTACCAAGCATGATGTCTCCCCAAACGAGAACACCGCCACCTCCATACCTGACCCTTTCAATGATGTTCGAGGGATGATTGCGGCTTCCCCGCTCTCTCCAGATGAGTATGCGATGAGAATCGCTACTCAGACTGAATCTGCACTCATCTGTAAAGAGTACTCGTACCCATTCATTGTCTCTCCAATTCCGGTGTTCTCGGCACCACAGAGAACGCCTTCTCCGATGGGCAGGCGTTAGAGGTACACACCGTACAGGGCGTCGTGCAAACAGACCACCACCGTGAAGTCTTCTGGCCACGGTAAAACGCGATATCGGTCGTCCAGTCGCCTGTTTCGTGTGTCTAGCGATTTCTTTCTCCCGCTGTCTGCCGCTGTTGTTTCTTCTGGCCTGTAAGGCAATATACCGGTCATCTGCGGGTGTGGTTCCTCGTGGACGACCACTACTAAACCCCCGGATAGCTGTTCCTGTAGTTTGAAATTGTCTCCAAAGTCGTGAAACGATGCTGTGAACAATTCCGAACTCTGCAGCCACACTTGTCATACTGCGGCCTTCCTCCAACTTCCCAATGATTCGACCTCGGGTAAAAGCATCCAGATGTCGTCTAACAGATTGATTATTCGCCATTTCTCGCTGAGGCAGCAACTCGGTGTGATTTTTACTGCTATACGGCGTGCAATCTCTTTGCCAGAAATACTGATCTTACACCGACAACATGCTTTATACTACTCAGACACTCCCCCATTACGTCTACCTGCATATCTGCGCATGTGCTACCGTACATCACCTTACTTAATCTCCTGATTGGTCTTTCTGTCCGCTCTGCCTCTTCGTTCATCTGATATGCTAATTTTTCGACTTCGTCCTTAATTTTTGCACACCAGTGTATATTAAATAAATTATAAGCAGTTTTCCCCTTTCTTTGATCATTGTAGTTCCCAGCTGTGAAATCAAAAATTCAAGGAGAGGAACAGAATCAGTTTCAGAACGCACTTGGAGAATCAATATTAGTAGAGCTGACAGACTCTCCAGATGACACAGTGAACTTACTGTACAAAGTTTTAGACGGAAGAGAGAATGTTGCGAAACGCCTTGCTTCAGTTGTGCATTCCTCGAAAGCAATGGACACAAAAGAATATTCTTCCAGCTCAACTATTCCTGCTGATACAATAGGAATATGGATTGATCCTATAGGTAATATTTATTCTCAGAAATTGAATTCAGTATAGTTGCATTTTCTTTAGCAGTTTTTTTTTTAATCTTTCAGTTTTCTTATTCGGAATTTTAGTACTCATATGCTGTATAGTTCCGCAACAGTAATTAAAGAGGATTTTAAAAACGAATAAATGTACTGTTCCAAGTGTTCCATAAATGTTGTATGTCCCACAAAAGTCCAGCATCTTACAGATTGGAAATCGTACTCGTGTATGCAAGATCTATCATAGTAGTTCTTTTAATTAATGTACAAGAACTGAAATATGCCTCATTGTCCATATTGAATTTGGACCAGAAGCAAAACCCAAAAACTAGAAGATGGCTCAGTCATGCCATTATCTGAGATCTTTTAGAGGTTTCCCAATATTCTCTAGGATATTGCTCAAAGAATCATCAAGAAGTCACTTTTCTGTTTAACCATCATTTTATTCTCAATGTCCATAAATTTCTAATGATTCCCATGGATAAATAAATCAAACGTATTTCCTTAAATTTTTCTATCAAGCAATTTTCAGCTTGCATTTGAACAGCATCCATTTCCCTTCCAGTAACTACACCTTTTGGTTCATTCGATGGCTACCTCGTGATCACCGGAACCACCTGCAACATTTGTAATTACTACATTACATGAAGCAGTTTCTGTTTAGATGGAAAATGTAACGCATACGCTTTCTTTTGTTTTGCTAAGTCGACCAGTGTAGCAGCTAGTGAAAGTCATGTCAAGTCTCCATTAATGAGAGGAAAATCAATATACCTTATCCATAGATTTTCATATTTAATGGCTCTGCCTTCAACGATGCCTCCGGAGTCGTTCATTGTACTAGGAGATATGTACTCTGACACCTTTGGGTGTATAAAATACACGAACCTGGGGTTACTATAACCTATGGGAGTGGGACAAGGTCTACAACTCCGTTAATCGAATCGGCGTCGAATGCCTATCTGGCAGGTACAAAATTTGACGAGTAGTCTTTTACCTTCACAAGCTCTACTCCCTTTGTGATGTGCTAGAGGAAATATTTTTAATCCATCGCCCTGAGGGTGGAGGGCCCGAGTTGTGCGGTGTACATGAAAGCTTAACGACCTATGAGCTTTATGTCTAAGTGTTTCAATGGATAAGCCGTGCAGTGGGCCTCTCAAAGTGTCCGAAACGTGCAATCATATTATTATAGCTTTAATGATGTATTGCGGTAGAGGTTAAATAGTTATTTGATCTTGAGCTATTAATCGTTTAGATTGCAGTTTGTTACCGTTAACTCTGAATACTGATAATTCGTCTTTAGAATTACGCAGTTCTTTCCTCTTCCAATCTAAGCAAAATTCATACAACCGTGCAAGGTCAGATCCGAGAATGTGCATGACTCTTGGATACTGCAGAAATTGGCTCTTGTATATTGGAGAACGTCAAGATTGCGTCACTGCTCTTAATCTTAGCACTCTGTTTACCACGCACTGACATTCTCTCATTCAGCGTTAGCGTTAAGGCTGGTGGCAGATACAGTGTGTCTGTCCTTGACGTCATATCCCATAGCTGTTATCATTGTGGTATGGAAAACCTGATTTCTCTTCTACATCTTCGCCGTTTATTATCTTCGCCGTGAAGTAAGGATGTTCGAAAAAAGCTTCAGGGGTAATCCCTGCATGTGTGGGAACTTCTGACCCTTGACGTCTTCCTATTGATTATCAAAAATCTCTTTATTCTTCTGAATTAGAGGTAGTGGCACCGTTATATTAAACACCCAAGCATTTAATTTAGTGTTTCTTTACATCTTGAATGATTCAGGTACCTTAATTTTTTTCATTACCTCTGTAATAGTTTTTAATCTCTAATAGAGGAGATAGTCGCAAGAATTCAAGAAAGTTATTGATAAAGATCACCGCTAACAGTCTGATGATCTCTTTGATTTGCGTTCTGGCCGGTCTTTACTTTCTTAGTTTAACAAAAATACTTATGAAAACCCTTACTGTTCGCTATTCAAATTGCTTATTGTGTATCCGCATAGCTAATATAGTCAATAAAATACTGGAGACTCAGTGTATTTCTAACTTCCTCCCCCCCCAGAGACGCAGTGGAGGATGTAAGTCTTTCTATGCTTCTGTTTCCAGTCAGTCTTTCTATTTCTATGTATCTTTAAGTGCTTCCCCCGGCGTCTTGCTGACGCGCCTTTAGACAAGGCTCTCAAAACATTTTTAGCAAAGCCGTAGATTAGAAGTCATTTACGAAGACCTATATCTGCTCGATTTTTAGCTGAAGGCTGAAATTCGAGCAGATATAGGTATTCGTAGCGAGACAGGTGACAGCTGAGAGCAGAGTCCGGACACCCGATCAACTTACAGAGACATTTCGGGTATGGTCCGGGTCTCGGAACTGTCCCAACTCCCGGCACCCCACTAATTCCTCATCGGGAGTTTGTTGCGTAAACAAAATTTTAAGTTACAGTGCCAAGCAGGGGCAGATGTTCAATGCTTACATACATTATTTGATATTTTGCTAGAATTTGCGTAAGGACAGTACAAACAGTACAAGCGCTACAACACATAATAAGCAATACACTGAGTTACAAGACTATACAGTGAAAATAATAACACTCCGTTATACATATGCTTAGTTGACTACACATTAAACTAATTTGACAGCACATTATATATATTCTAATGTCTGAGGCTTCTTCTTTTAATGATGTGGCTACATGTAACACTTTGGTGACGAAGTCCCATCATTTGGCCTGAAATATCATATCAAATTGTGTTTTAAATACATACATTTAGCACCAGAGCTCCCGATGAAGAATCATTAAGGTATAATTATACAGGATTAAAAATAACAGAGTACAAGATAATATTCTGTCGTAAGGCAAAAATCTGATTAGAATGAGAAGGTTAGGCCAGGATGTTACTCACAGTAGATTCAAGAGCAGCATGTTTGAAACTCTCTTCTCTAATTCCTACATCTTGTTCTTAAATCTTTCACTGACATCAGCAATGCTTACAGTCATAATTTCCCTTACATTTTTGGTATCAGTATTTCAAATGGTTTTCACGCTGTCTACGTTTTTACGTAAGTTTATGCTGAAATATTCATGTCGTCTATGATATCTTGCATGAACTCATTAATCTCGGTTTTCACCAAGCCGTGTAACTCAGTATATAACAGTAGCCGTAAATTCCTTCTATTCCTCTTTTCATGGTTGTTGTCGTGTCTGTGGAAGTTTCTTTTATTTCAGCAGCGCTTCCGGCAGATTCTTCCTCACTAGCAGCTATCACGTGTTTTATCGCTTTCAACATTTCGTTTCTGATTACGGGCATTTCAAGTAATTCCAAGTTTTGATCCAACTGATACGTGCTAGAAGCTCGTAAAAATCCCCAAATAAAAAAAGTCTAATAAAAGGAAAAACATGCAGCTTTGTCGAGTTCTAAGTGATAATAGTTTTCGCAGATGAAGGGAAAAAAAGATAAAACTAGTTAAAGCAGATTGAGAAGATACAGCTTTACTGTTCTTAACAAGGAACGAATGCCAAAGATTTAACTCAAAAATACTAGATCGCTGCAGACGTACAACTTACAAATTGAAAATAATATAGAATTACAAAATCTCTTGCAGAGCAAAGGCAGAAATGATTTGAGTACTTCAATTCACTAAAATTTGTCTTAGCTGACTTATTAGGTTCTTATGCTGGCTATTCTTGATTCAGGGAAAGATTAGATATATCATTATTGGAAAAATCAGTCCTATTCCTTTCAAAAACTTGTTAAGTACCACCATATTTGCAAGAAATAGTCAAATGCTTTCAAATGTTTAGCAACTTTTATATCCCCAGTTCCTTTTAGTGTATACTGTGCTAGCATTAAAATTGTTACACCATAATGAAATGCAGTAACAAAATCATATTAATTTTATGAACACATTATAATTGCAGGATGAAATAATTAAGATTTCGGGTAATATTGAACCACAGAACATGAAAAAATTCGTATATGCCGAGCATTCACCTGTGGACGCAATATCAGCTGTTATATGACTGGACATACAATCGTTACAGGTTATGCAGTCCATGCGCCTTAATTCTATCTCAGAATTCATCTATCGTACTGGAAGGCGGATGTTGTCATACCAAGCTCTCTATAACCAGATACTTTTATCTAGCAAGAAATTTGGAGAAAGCGAAAGGAGAAGCAGGCATCGAGCATCATGTATATTGAGGAAACATAGGACACGGATGGCAACCTGCCGTTTCTCATCTTCCTGTTAGAAAGTGGGGCAACGAAGGCTCCCGAAGATGTGTCACAACCGCAGGCATTAAAGATCTAAGTAATGCCGGGCGCTGTTTAAAGGATATACGAACCAGAGGTGAATGAGATATGTACCCAGTAGCAACCCCAACATCAATACAGATGCCAAACCAATATGGAAATGCAAATGTCTAACGTTTATTTCCCCGCGGTGCCTCAATACACGGATCTTGCTGATGGATTTGGCCATCATTTTCTTCATAGCCCAATGCTCAAAACTTCATCATACCAATGGATTTGGCCATCAGCAAGATTCGTCAGAACAACGACATCATGCCGTATTGATGTGTGTTACTGAAAGTATTGATGTGTGTTACTGAAATTATTTATGTGTGTTACTGAAAGCACCACTGTACAAACTGATCCTGTACCGTTAAGGGAAACCGAAGCAATAATCACCTTTCTGACAATCCATGGCTTTGTAAACGTCATCGCATCGTTTATGTGGAAAATTGCTGCTGTGTTACAAGCCAGTTCCGTGATTTAGAGTATGTGATATAAATGTACAATCCTTAATAGCGATACGGAGAAGATGTCTGTCATTTCGGGTTTTTAGGGGATGACAGGTGAGGGCAGGAGACTGCTTTGAAGAAGGATCTGTTTCCATCTGCAGCCTATAGATAAAATGCATTTAAGGGGACATTGCATTTGTACAGCGATGCATACCGTTCAAACTTTGTGCAAGAAATGACGATTTATACCAGGATATCGTTTTTATCTACCTCTTAACAACATTCTACCACCTCAACGCTCTATTTCTGCACACATATACATTCAGTTGCAAAATCTTCTTATATCGGTTATTTTTTAATAAGTATCTTGAAACTTGAAATCAAAGCATGGATCAAAAGGCTTTATCGTAAACGCGGTTTGAGAAATCAGTTCAGTAAGTGAATAATCAGTACACTATATAACTATTTGCATAATTATTTACGTATGTTAACATATTACTAGCTATTTTAAATTACTCTCAAAACGGAGCTCAACATTCATTACTGAATACCTCGGTTTCATGAGCAATTCTAAAAACGTATGCAACAGTGTTGCCATAAAAGTATGCGAAATATCAAGCACACACTTTAGCGCTGCCTAACGGCCAAATCTGTAAACTCGACATCCTCTACCTGTCTCCACATTTATGCCAGATATTTGTTAATCAACCTGTATAATGTGTTTCAACATTTGAGAGAAAGTGCACTTAATTTCACTTAATTTTTTAATAGATTCTACAGCAGAGTATATTCAAGCTAAAAGTGATGAAACAGAAGATCATAATATACAAACGTATGGATTAAGGTGTGTCTGTGTTCTGATTGGTGTTTATTGCATACAGACTGGAAATCCAATTATAGGAGTGATTAATCAGCCTTTTTACAAGAAAGAAGAAGCATCTTCAGAGTAAGTTACACAATTTTATTCATGATTAAATTTTCGACCTTTCTTATGGAATATGCAGCAAAACCAAAATATGAACAAGATTATTAATTCGAACAAGATTATTAATGTTGTGCGCATGATTTTCGTGCTGCAATTTCATTGTTAGGTGCAATATTTTTGCTTGGTATTAATAATAAGAGTATATATTATTTTAATTTAAAAAGAGAGCTAAAATATATCGGTTCTACTACGTGGAGGAGGGGGGGAAGAAATTCTAAACGCTTATATACATCATCTGTGTTTTCTGAGAACGAAAATAAGGCGAAAAAATTTCTGATCTGTCTTTAAATTAATATCTAAACGGTTAAATACGAACAGAAAGACTAGTAAATCTGAAAATGATTGGAGTGTCAATGATTTAACCATAACTTTATGTCGTAATGGACTCAGTGAAGCACACTAAATGCAGATTTTATATTAATAGAGTTTTATGATAATTGAGGTAACAGTAGTATAACAATAGCCTACCAGCGGCCAAGTGGTGAAATCTCTGAATATTAATAATTAGAGTCGGTAAACGTATCGGTTACAGTTTTCATGCTTTGAATCTGATTATCTAACATGAATATGGTATATGCCTCATATGAATAAATATGAGGCAGTTTTCGTGAAAATGACCTTGATGAAAGCATCCTTTACCTCTGATGAATCGGTCGTAGACACTTAGCCAACAAGTACATTTAGCCAATATGCACATTTAGTTGAGAAAGCGTACATTTAGACAAACATATGCGACAATTTTTTTGTAAAATTTGTCCATATTTATCGAACAAAAAGTCGTACCAAGTATACGGAATGAGAAGGTTTGTGGACAAGTACCATATTTTTGTTTTCACTTAATGTTATGCAGAGTATAGATTTTAAAATGATACAAACTTAGCTTGAGCAAAATAAAAACGATTTTAGCGTGATATGTTAAGGTAAATAGCAAAGAAAGGTAAAAAAGCGTGATATTAGAATTATGAGAGTGTTGAGGAGAGCTAGATTGGAAATTTAATCTCATTAACTAAAGAAGAACTTTTTTTTAATATGAATGTGTTAAGAAATCCAATCTATAAACAGAAGTTTCACGAACAATTTTTATAGAAACAAAACTAAATTTATAATTAAGTGTCCATTTGTGATTAGCTATCAAAAATTTTTTATTTCTCTTTTTCGAACATATGATTCATGTTTCCTGATGAGAAATTTCAACGTTCTTTACCCTGTTGACATCATAGGCCAAAATTCCACAACTGAAATCAGAATGGGATCTGTAAAAAACTAACAACAAATTTTATTGATAGGTGAGAAAATGATTTGAAAGTTGAACTTACAGAAAATCCCAGTTTGTAATTGAAAGAAAGATTAAATACTTGTAAGGATCTTAAGTTTTACTAACGTTTATTTTATTTTAAATCTTTACTATCACTTCTTATTTTCTACTTCCGGCCAGAATTAAAAGCTTTAAATTATTTATGCAAATTTGTCTTGTGAACGCCAAGTACTTAAGTTGTGGCTTTTTGCCAAGCAAGAGAGAGGAAGGAGTTAGTAGAAGCAGGCCGCTTGCCTTAGCAGTTTTACTCGGTTGCTGGTTGCCTTCCAGGCCAGAGGTGTAATCCTCTTGATAATTTTAAACGTATCGTAGTGTTAACAGTTCTCTGTACTACATACGGCCTTTCTGTTAATATACGGCCAATCTTCGAGTAGGCACTTGTTTATTAATCCAAAGTTAGTTTAGTTAGAATTTAGTTAATATTTTTATATTCTTACGTTCAGACCACAAGTGGTTGGTCTCTGTATTCCGAAGTCCGGAAATCTTTGTAAAGAGAGAAAAATAAAGGGTTTTGTATACCCTTCCTGTGTATCTTGTCTACTTCCCACATTTATTGAACATAGCTTTAGTAAGCTCCCTGTTCCGAGTCAGGTCATTGAATGTTCCCCAAGCAAGTAAGGAGGAACACTGAACCTGATATACTTATCGAATAAATATGGGCAAATTTTACTGAAACATTGTCCCATGTATTTATCTATTTGTACGCCTTGTCAGCTAAACGTGCTATCCGTTGCAATCATTACAAAAACTTAACAGGAGGAAAAGTGATAAAATTCTGCTTATAATTTAATTTCTTGTGTAAATGGTTAGAGTATCAATGTAGAGTCGTTAAACGTTACTCAAATGCTTTTATTTATCGAATGTTTATTTCCAATTTTCAGCTATGACAGTTTCTTATTTATTTCAGGTGGGAAAACAAATTCTTTTGGGGCATAAACTACAACACTGAAACTGCGTCTTCCATCACATGGAATGAGGAGGATAAAGAAAGGACGAAAATCATAGTAATTAGCAGTAGTGAAAGTGATGAGTTACAGGATGTTATGAGAACTAAATATACTGTTATCCATGCAGCTGGAGCTGGATATAAAGCCTTACTTGTTGCAACTATGAAAGCAGATTTGTATATTTTATCACAACCAAATACCTATTTTTGGGATACCTGTGGACCCCATGCATTACTTTCTGCAAAAAATGGTGGAATAGTAAATTTTCAAGATAAAACGGCCATCAAGAATAAGGATGAATTAACAAATTTCCAAATTAAATATTTCCCAAATAAAGACGTTACTGGTACTCACAGGTTCCAAAACTTTAAAGGTATCATTGCTTACAGGGACTCTAATGATGTCATAGAATTTTTTAATTTGTTGAGAGAAAATGGATATTATTTTAAAACTTTAAAAAAAAATGAAATAAAATATTTATTGTAGAGATGTCGAATTTTTTTTATTGATTCCACCATATCACTTAACCCTTTCCGGCACGCTACCTTTTAAAGTCGGAGTTTTGATTTAAAAAAAAAAAAAAAAAGATAGGCAGTCTAATTAGGCCTAGAGGAGTACACATGTAAAATTTTGTGAAGATAGCGCTTATCGTTTTAATTCTGTGGGTGTGCCCAAAGTGGGCAACTGATTGAATAGAGCTTTGAAAAGAGTGCTGAAACGAGCATTGTTGTCAATGAACTGACCGATGAGATGCGGAGAAACAAAGAATACTCTCCGTTGTCCTAGATTATCGGTGAGCTCGTTCTGGGCACACCTAGGGTTCGCCGTTTGATTTTAGGCAAGATTTCAAGGTAAAAATTTAAAACTAATACAGAATAAAGAGATTAGCATACAGCCAAAGAAATAACATAGAAATTTCTTTTCAAACATTTCCTTTTATACCCTGAAAAAAATCTGGAAGATTTCTTTGAAAAATGAGGGTCTTAAAAAACTAAACATGGCTAAAATATATGGACTGGTTTGTGTTGAGCTGCCATCTACTATAAATAAAGAAGGTCCAGAGTAACCTATAGTTACCTATAAATCCTTTTTCATTCAATTTTTCTGTGTGCACAGAAGGAAATTTTTAAGTGTGTCCAGACCGGACACACTGCCGCAAAGGGTTAAACAACATCATTGCTCAGTTAATTTGGTTAAGATGTGCTTGAATTGTTTTCTGAAATATTACAAACACTTGCATTTTTATTGATCTATCTTTATTGACAACATCCATTGAAAAAGTAATTATAATAATAGATATTTCGGAAAAAAAGAAAAGAAAATATAAATTCAAATTATAAAATAAAATATCAATTCATAAATTAAAAAAAATGATTCAAATTTTAAGATTTTATATGATTAAAATAAAGATCAATTCATAAATAAGAGACGTTGAAAATTGTTCTTATTTAGCTATTTATTTGACTTGATAAGCAGCATACTTAAGTGCTAACTACTAACTTTTTATGGATAAGCCTAACTATTAACTATTAGCAATGCTAATTGTTGTGAACTTTATTTCACTAGATCAGGATTTCTTAAACTTTTTTCAGTCGCGACCCCTTTTTATCACCGAGATATTTTTGAGACTCCTAGGACCCTATAATATTTACAAAAATTTTGTGGGACCTCATGAGTATTAACTTTAATTTCTAATTTTAAGACATAGAACAATGTGAAAATTTTAAATAAGTAACAGACGAAATGACAGCGTCACGTGCAAAGCAAGAAAAATGAATTATAAAAAATATATAAAAAGAATGCGTCGAAACGTTTTTCACTTTTTTCTTTGTCTGTATTGTCTTATCGTTATCTATTTTCAGATAGGGAGAAATACCTTATAAGTTCTTAAAAACAATAAATAAATAAAAGTAAAGCAAAATTTTTGGAAACATCATAATAATTGACTATATTACAAACAGAAACGGTATATGTTTTAAAACAACTGGAAGTCTGCAGTATTTTTAGTGAAGTTAAATTAAATTACCTGAATACAAAAGTCACTGAATGCAAAGCGCATGAGGACTATCTACCTGAGGGAGAGCTAACTTTTTGGCAGCTTGAAACAAATGGTTTATATTTACGTTACACAAAATCGCGAAAACTCGGGGCAATCAATCCATTCACGAGCGAAATCTCCAGCTCCTAGCGTAACTGTTCCCTCGGCCATTGTTGGGCACACTGATAATATGTATTTTCTGCATGACGTATAATAGCCTTTTTAGAAGTTTCCTACATGTTGACACCAAATCTACTGTATGTAAGTGTGAAAAATGCACTTATGTTAAAGTAAATGCGGGATTTTGAGCAACCAGAACATCCAATCAATATTTTTTAATTGTAAAATGAACCATGAGGTTAGACATGATAGTTTTCCATCTACAGACTTAAGAAATTCATAAAACTCAATGTGTTGCTGAGCAAATGACAACAAACACATGCTGTCCAACAACGGACACTTTTCTCCGTTGTATGAAATTATTTATTGGTGCACAAATTTAATGCAAGAAGAATGAAGCAGATAGATCCACAAAGAGGCTTTCCAACAACAGTCTCTGATCTTAACAATGTCGATAAAGCTTGCGGGCTTTGAGACCAATCACAACATGTGATGTATATAGACTGCTTTGGAAAACTCGATTATCTGCATCAAGTGTTCATTGCATTTTCATCGAGCAACTGCATGCAAAACGTATGCTATGCGTTGAATGGCCATGTACAAAATGTATTATTATCAGCGATTAGAAAAAGATGTGTTACTTAATAATTGTATTGTAACTATGGACAAATTATGAATGCTTTATTTTGACCCAGAACTGAAAAGTGTTGAATGGTGTCGTTCTAATTTCACTTGAAAAACTGTTAGCGACGCTGTCGGAGAACTAAATTGTAACTACTGGTTCAGAAGCTTGAAGCCTTCAGCCAAAGAATATGTATTCTTTGGCTGAAGAATATAGACTTTCTTTGCTTTAGCAGCTCACTTTTACAGGTGACCGGTATTTGCAACTTAATGCACGTCACAACAGGACTGCAACTCCATCTCAGCTTAGATTAGTACTTATTTCCTTTACAGGGAAAGTATCAGCCACAACAGTAGGCAGAAGGCTGCTTGAAAGATATATATAAAGCTAAGCGATAGGTATTGTGTGTCCCACTTACCTCCCGCCGCCAGAGATCGGGCATTTAATCATGTAAATTGTTTTTAATTATTTTAACTGTATTTGGTTATATTTTTCAATTTTTGATAAAGATATTTTGAGGTTTTTGTGTATTTTTGCCTTGCACCGCGAAGTGAGAACTGAATTAATTGAAGAACTTTATCTCCGATGAAATAAGTTTAAATGAAATGCAGCAAAAAATGCGTAGAATTTAATATTCCGTGCAAAGGAAGTCATGTGGTGTACAAATAAGATTTTTTTCAAATAATTTTCGACTGTATGTTTTTTGAACAATTTTATTCAAAGAATTTTCATAGTTCTGTGATACTGTAATTCTTTCAGCTACCACAAGTAGTGCCTTAGCTGTTTCCAACTTTAAGCAGTGGATTCTAATGAATCAATCATTTATGTTACTGAAATATTGCTCAAATATAGGATTAAAAAAAATTAAACATCATGATAAACATGGCAGAACAAGAAAGCCAAAAAAACTCTTTTTATCTCAGTATTGGATTTACACATTATGACATCATAGATACTAATTTCTTTATAGATGTTCATCATATATTTATCTATTAAGGCTTGTGTATTCAGGTTTTGATAAAATATAACGCAGCTGCTTTGCTTAATAATCTCAACACATATGATCCACTACAAGGCCAGCTTCAAGCCCAAGTTAATAAACAGCAGCCAAGGGCGCAAGCTAAGGTATTCTCACAAGCAACAACTACATAAAAGTACGCTTCATTTTAAACCGCAGGCGTTTATACATTTTTAGAGCAATTTCGATAAATAATTAAAATTAAGCAAATGTTTTGAAGCAAAAATTTCTGAAAACAGCTTATTATTTGAAACAATAAAAATATCATCAGCTGCATCATTTAAATTTATCCTTCTTTTAAAATATCGTATGTAAACAAGCTGTGGTTTGAAAGATATGCTTTTGCGTTTTCCGAAGAAAAGTATGCCTATTGCATAACTGAAAAATATTGTGAAATGCGTGGTATTAAAATTTCCATGTGTAAAATAAGCAACATCAATAATCGTAAAGGGAAAAACTGCCAGTCATTATTTCTATATGGAAATAAGTCTCCAAACGAATACCTGAAAAAGGTAGGTACTGTTTCTAAAGTTACAACAAAAGAAAACAAACAAAAGAGAATCTGTCGCCGCAGAAATCAGTTCCAAAGTCTTTAAATACATCTGTAGCAACAATAAATAAAATAATAAACCAAGATTTACGCCTTAAAAAAGCTACAACTGTAATGTTCACAAGCTATTGCCTAGGCATACGGCTCAGCACAAACCAATTTGTAGAACTCTGTACAAAAACTATTCAGCAGGAGATAAATAGAAATGCATTGTTACCCTCGATGAAGTATTAAGTTTATCTAAATGACTGCAATAAAAGAAAGGTTTGTTATTATCGAAGATGAGAAGAAAAAATGTATTCATCTGGTTCCATCAATTCAAAAAGAAAAAAAAAATTTAAGCAAGGGGTTTATGATTATCGCAGGAATCTCTTACAATGGAAAATTAAAAATAAGGAGAGTGGGGGGAAAAATATTAAAATCAATTCGACTTACTATCAAGCGAAAATTTTAGGTCTGATATTTACAGGACAAATTCCGTTTCTATACCCTGATGACTTTTAAAGAGTGAAACTTTACCAAGAAAAAGGACCAAGTCATACTTTGAAAAGTTCCATTGCATGCCTTAAAAACAAGAAGACTGATACAGAGTTCAACATATTTCCGTGAAGCCTCCTGATGTTTTAAGGTTGTTGATGCTTCACTTAACTATGTATATAAAGTCAGTTAAAAAGACTTCCTCCTTCCGATTTCTCACTATCTTCCAGTATTCCACTAGAGGTTTTACACCTGGACATGAACATCCCATATAATGCAACTGTTTCCAATTTTTTCCTTAATGATTTTGCGGATATGGGATATCTCTAACTCTGAAAAAGCGGCTGCGCAAATCAAACGCGAATTTAGCTATGATGTGTCAATGCATACTTCCTTTATCTCTACATGTCCAGGAACACAGCAGTACAGAATCTGACGTCCACACCTCCTTTAATTTTAGCATTAGAACTTGAATGACTACAGGGTTGTGCGTGTTAGAAAATGTTTCTGAAGCTTTTAAGTGTTCTATGAATCTGTGTAAACTTCTCCGACATAGCTAAGATACGAACAAAAACGCATTATACTATACAGCTATTAAATTCAGAGCTTAGAACTGATCACGTTTACTAAGCAGGCGTCTTTTAAAAGTCTGCCCTCCATGTGGTCACCAATTACAAGTGCTGTTTCAACACAATCAGTTGATTTCACCTCATCTGCATTTACAGGAATGTACAGGGTTTGTCCGGAAAGTAGGAGTGATTTTTTTAAAAGAATATTTTCACAATTTTGACAGATCGACTTGACAGTTTTCAAAATACAGTAAGACCCCGCTTAACGCGGGGGATACGTTCCATCAAAGTAGAGCGTAATGCGAAACAGCGCTAAACGAGGCTATCTTTACATGTAAATATTGGGGTTAGGGGAAGATGGCTAGGAAATTGGTTAGGTATTAAATAAATTAAAAAGTATGTTTTTTAATAAAAATAAAACCAAACATTTATTTCTTAAAGCCCAAATTAATACCACATTATTATTTCTTGCAAAAATAAAACAAAATATAAATAACAAAACGAATATTCTTAAAAAAAAAAAAAAAATAATAAAATTCTAAGTCAGTCATATTTAGTTAGCCTTCCGCGTTTTCAGTGTTCTGCCTTTTTGTGACAAAAGCATCTAATGTTGTTTGCCTTTTTCTTTTGCGTTGTTCTCTTAAAAGTTCTTCATAAACGGATAGAGCATCTCTAACACCACGCCTTACTTTTGAGCTCCTGTCAAAATTCGGATCATTTTCAATGAATTGATCCATTATTTCAGTTATGGTAGACAAACGCCATCGAAAGTTCTTTTTGCTCTTCTTCTGAATCACTGCTGTCGACATTTTGTTTTTCTTCTTGTTCAGTTAATTCCTTGAGCTCATCATTAGAAAGATAGCCGCTGCTTCTTGAATTATTTCTTCGACATCTTCCACATTTACCCCTTCAAAATATGTCTGTACAATACCGCACCAAACAAGAAATACAAGTACACTCTTTCGGATATGTATTTGAAACCTATCGCTGCATAATATTTCGGGGAATCCCCGTATGCTGCGAGCGATTTCGTGGAATCCCCGGGTTGAAATAAAAGAGCGCTAAACCGAAACAGCGCTAAACGAAACAGCGTTAAGCGGGGTCTTACTGTATACCCCTTCTGCATCAACACAGCACTTCCAGTCGTGCCACCCTTTTCATGACTCTTTTCAATCAGGGGAAATGGAAGAAATCTAAAGGAGCGATATCTGGGCTGTAGAGTGACTTGGGAAGCTGTGTGATGCGATGTTTGGTCAGGAAGTCCATGACAGCAATGGCGATGTGGCTCGGCGCATTGTCGTGATGGAGCCTTCATGATCCAGCGATTGCTGGACGGACACGGGCGACTCGTGTTCCGAGTCTTTAAAGTACAGATATTGCTCAAATTTTGCTAGCGGAAACAGCTACGTGCAACCCGTTTCAATCAGAAGTAAAGGCCAAAACAATTATTCGGGCCTTGGCTAAAAATTTATATTTAGGGAGGGCAACGATTGGTGACAGTACCCTAACTCTCCTGTCCAGCCTTACGGGACTCAACGCACAGCAAAAGCGTTGGCAGTTTCCTCTCCGTGAAAAGCTACAAACAGATATGTAACACCGTTCGAGATCGAGCCCCAATCTCCAAAAATGAAGAACTATTAGGGATAAAAAAATTACAAAAGTAAAAGATAAGAACAGGGGAAAAGGAAACGATAACTAGGGATCTGGGATCGTGATCCCGTCTTACTTCAAGGGTGATTCCCTGAAAGGAACTGAAGGATTCAAGGGTGATTGATACCTTGGGACTGCTTCACTTATGTGAGCCCCCTAAGGGCAATGGCTTGTTTGGAAAAAAAAAAAAAAAAAATTGGCGTCTTGATAAAATTAAGTTCGTGATTTTATTTAGGCATGTATATTCATATATCGACTTTTCACATTTAAATGTGATTTTTATTCATTATTAATTTTTTAGCTTATGTAGTTACTTAAAAATCATCATAAAAAATTAAAACAGTCAACTGCTTTAAAGGATGCACATCTAAAATTAATTTTTTATTTATTCCAGATTCCTGATTATTTTATATGTTTTATAAGATGACGCATCAGCTTTTCTTCTAGCTATGAAGCCAAACTACAGCTGATTTAAATTTTTCGCCTTTAATTTATATATTTTTATTAAAATAGGCAAATAATCATAATGTTCAATATACATTTTAAAATAACTCACCTTTTTTTTAATTTTTTTATTAAACAGCATTTAATTTATTCAAACGTTACAGCTAGTATAAAATTGCAGATTTTATATCAACTGCTATCAATTCCTATATTTATTCTTTACTTCTGTTTTCTTCACGATTTTGCCGTTTTCCTCTTATGAGGTGATATTGCTTATGAAACTGCATCTTGCTCCATTTTGCACAAATTATACAGATCAACAGACTATTATCATCATCTTCAGAAGACATTTCCTCCATAATCACTTACCTTTTAATGCTTATGGAGATGATTATGGATTATTTTGATGCTGGAGAAGTGAGGAAATTTGCAATGCCCTCGTCGGAACCTCTCAAATACGCGCCGAGTGTGCTACCGTTACACCACGAAGGCGTGCAGAAAGGAGGGAGAAAATACCTTATCCCTTTTAAAGGGCGACTGCGGATTAGGAGACCAAATCTTGGTAGTGAAGAATCATCATCCACCACCTTTTTTTTTTTTTTTTTTTTTTTTTTTTTATTTCAGGCCCACTATTATTATCATTAGGTTATTATTTTTGAAGCAAGAGACATAAAAAATAAGAAATGCCCTCCCCGGGACTCGAATACGTGTCGAGTGTGTTAACCTTTACACCACAAAGGCATGCTGGAAGGAGGGAGAAAATACCTTACATCCTGTTTCTGAAGTTGTTGCAACTCTTCTGTGTGAAGCTCATGTTTGTGATCCTCTAGTAATTCCTTCAAGTCTTCTATCATGGATCACAAAAATTCCTGTGTCAAAACCCCCAAAGACTTTGCCCATAATTTTCTCCGAGGTGAATTCATGATCACATAAGACCCTTGTTACCAAGCTTTGCTAATGAGTTAAGTTATTAAAATGATGTTTTTAAAAGTATCTGAATGTTAATCCACATTAGAGCACATCTGAAAATCATTTGTAGCAACATATACTTCATTACCTGAAACCATTTTATGAAATGATTTGTTCGTTACAAAAGGCATTTGTAGCCTGAGACTCCACTGTATATTTAAAAGAGTATTTTTTTTTTTTTTTTTTTTTTCCTCTGAGAAATAAGAAGAAATTTAAAAGCCAAATGTTTGCAAATAAGGTAGTTTATAAAAACAGTAATTCATGATAAAAAAATACATCACTTCTGAAATGAAGAAATTTAAATGCTTGAAAATCATATTTGAAAAGCAAAATAAACTCCATATAAAACCACACCAAACACATTTATTGCATTAAAATATTTCACAAAGTAACACTGATCGTGATAAGTTTCAAAATTTTGCCAATTCCAATATGCAATACTTTTTATGTACAGTAACTGCTGTGTGATAATATAATCTCACAAAAGCAGGCTAAATATTACAGAACTTTAATGGAAGAATATTAAAAACATCAACAGACAACAACAAAAAGTGAAACAATCACTATTAAATTTTTACCAAAAATGTTTTAAATATTACTCAATTCTGTATATTTAAACCATCTGTAAAATGAAAACTCCAACATTTCATTCAGAGCCACTAGTACATATTTAATATGACACTGTAAAAAAATTATGTGCAAAATGTAAAAAAGACACTAATGTTGTCTATGTATATTTTCACAAAACAATCAATTTCAAAAAATAGATTATAATACAAAATCACATACAAACATCTGTACCAAGACATTTACACTAAATCTGCAATGAATATTAGTGGAATAAGTCCTTTCTTACAGAGAATTACTACAATAATCAACAAGTAGTATACAATTAGACTACAAGTGTTCAATTTCAGATAAACAGTAATTTATAATTATGAAATATTTCTAAAATAACAACATTTGAATTTTGGATTTGTTGCTTCTTAAATTACCACTGATTGCTAGGAAAGTATCACTAAATATTTAATTTATTTGTTATCTATCTACATTTCATAAACAACTGCATAATAAGAATAAACTTGTTGCATAAAACAATAAAATGAAAGAATATACAGAGTGTCCCATAAATTTGAGTATTATGCACCTAAAGACTTCTTACAGAGGCTAATACCCCCCCCCAATATAAATAACCACAAATTTAGTCAAATTTATAGGGTAATACTGCACCATTATTATTGCAACAATATGCACCATTCTTGACATTAAATGCTTCAAAGCATACCTGAAGAGCTTAGAATTGAAGTATACTGGGGAGAAAAAAAAAGAATAATTTATTACTATAGTTGTTTATTACAAAGTGAAACCACATACAGTAATGGTTTCTTGGCTATATTTTTTGGGAGGGAGGACAATTATATATCTGAAGACAGAAGTAATTGAACGGTTTCATTTCCGTATGCAACTCTTAAAAGCACACGCTCATGTGTCGCCATCTGTCTTTCAGAATAAGAATCACTAATTCATTTCACCAACACCTTGTATATATCTTATTTTAATACTTAGTTCAGAACGCATTAAAATTAGGCCAACTTATTTCAGTCCAGGATCCCTTTTACTTCTCATTATTGTATTGTAACTTGATAACTTTCTTTTATTATATCAAATAAATGTACTCAGGATTTCAACTAAGTTAAAACTTTAAAATTTGCCCACACCAATGCCTGTCGAGCAAGAAAATGCACTCTCTTTCCAGGACACCCATTGGATCACATGACCAGTAGCTCCTCCCATCCAGCCATGGACCTGCCCTGCTACCTGTTTCTCACTCATTTGAGCGCCGGATGTCGAAGCAGTAACTGTTACGCTTATCTCTCTTGACGGACGTTCTGACTTTACGATTTGTATGTACGCAAGGCTCATGAATTGACTATCGTTCGGAATTGCTTATCTTTACCTATGCCATGATACAACAACCACTGAATTCTCTTGAGGAAAAATTCATTCTTCCTCAATTATACTCTCCAATATGTTATGCCAGGAAAGATATGCCTATCTACAATGAATTCTGCACAGGATGTGGCTGTCCCAGCCTAGGAGCCTGCTGAAGTGCCCAGCACCTGAGCCTTCTGAACGGAAGCATGAACAACAGTTCACATGCCAGTTGAGAAAACAGACAAGGATTGATAAAACTGTATCCAATATGAAGCGGATAAACATCTTCTATACACACACAGAAAAAAAAAAAAAGAGAGAGAGAGAGAGAGATTACAATTACTATTCTCTTGTTTTCATTTTATGTAAAGTAGTTTTTATTTACTGCATACTATATAAATTTTTTTTTTTTTTTTTTTTTTTTTTTTTTTTTTTTTATAATTCGACAAAAGTTGGATCTATTTTTCCCTAGCTTTATGGAAAAAATTAGTTTTTATTGTTCTCTTTCCATTTCCTGGGATTAGTTTTTTATACCAATTTTCATTTCGCTTACTTTTCATGAATTTTTAAGATTCCCCAGGTAGAAACTTGCAATAGCAACACTGTGAGTGCACAATACATCACTTTGTTGATTTTATACAACTTTTTTAAATATGTCCAAATTTATAGGGACACCTTGCAATCAAAAAACTGTCTTTGCGTGCACAATACATCACTTTGATTTTATACAGCTTTTTTAAATATGTCCAAATTTATAGGGACACCTTGCAATCAAAAAACTGTCTAATAGAAGTTGGCCAATTAACAAATTTTTGTACATAAAACATGAAACTAACTTCCTAAGCTTAATATATACAGCATATATCACAAGAGAGCAATAGACATTTACATAAGGAATACAAAACACTGATGACTCAAAATTTCATGCATAGATTGTTTAGGCATAACTACTCTTTCTCAGCAGAAAAGACAACACCTTTTTTTTCTTCCACATAATGTCATGCATAGCAGCAAAATTTGCATATATCCAAATCAGAAAAATCTGCCTGCAGACATTTTCTCCTTAAAGTGTTAGTTGTTAAGGGAAGTATTACTTCTATTATACATCTAATTACATCCATAGGGACAAGAATGCTGTCATAAAAAGAATAATACTGTTTAAAGAATGTCTGATAAATAAGTGGACTGAACCTGCAGTTTTGATATATGAAGAAAAATCAATTGCATTTATTGATACATTTGCTTGCTGTGAATGGTTAGTCATCTATTTAATTCACAAGCCTCAAATTGCTATTGCTGCATTCATTCACATTTGATCCTCAAATGGAAACTATTGCTGCATTCATTCATATTTGATCCTCAAATGTGAATGAATGCAGCAATAGTTTCCATCACCATTGAACTCTTTCATGCTCAAGGCCAGTTGGAAAGATTTTATTGATTCTTTTCTTGATAACTGCAGCCCTATCCTCATCTACTGGCTGCTAAAAAGTGTCACAGTTATAACTGTTTGAGAAAGAAAATCAAGGACAATTGATCATTACATGATAAAAAGCAAAATACAATTCCTTCATAGCATCACAGCCAAACAGAAGAACTTTTTACAGAAAAGGAGTTTCAGGAATTGTGTATCTCTGCGATTGTTGCTTCAAAAACACGAGACTAAATCAAATAAAACCCACTACCGGAATCACAATCAACAAGTTCACTTATTTATAAAATAGCTCATATAATATTAAAATATTTTTATAATATAATGCATACAACAATAAAAAGATTACAATTTCACACATGATCGATCTTAAAAATTGCACTTTTTAAACTATTAAATATAGCATTGCATAGTTAAAATAGCAAATCTAATGCATAGTTAAGGTGATTTTTTACACCTAAATTATTTTAACTTATATTCAAATACATCATTTGACACATTTAAGGGACATAACAACAGTTGTTTTGTTTCCATTAATGCAGAAAATAATTTAAATAAGGCAGAAAGGTAACAGGCTATTTCTCTCCCCCCCCTCAAAAAATAAGGGAAGGAGAGACACTTTAAAGAGCAATTTACAAGTTCTTAATGCAAACATACCTAAAAAGTACATTAAAATTATTACAAGCTTTTCACACTGCATCACAATTTCAAAACTTTTCGGCTATAATTAAGAATTTAATATATTACACCTAAATTCTGCTATTGCTATTACACAAATTACTTGTATTCATTCAACATTTAGAATTCTCTATTAAGCAATCTAGATGTATATTTTCCTTCAGTGATATAAAATATAAATGATATATTTAACAAGGAAGGGAAGATAGTAAATAACTTAATTTTAAAAAATGTAAAGAATGGCAAAATCTGCTTCTTAGTCACACAGAGTTATAGATGTTGTTTTAAAGACTAATAGATAAAAAATTCAGACTTTTTTTAAAAGAAGGGGGGATTATAAATTCAAGCAAAACATGTTTTTAGTTTTATAAGCATATATAGATTATTCAAACTTAAGAGGGGGAAAGTAGTGACAGTTCAGCATGTTTTACAAACTCAGCGAGAGAAAGAAAAAATAGAAGAAATGCATTTAAGGTGAAAGCTGGGAAATCTTCAGTCATATAGTGGAAACTTACTTATTTATAAAGTTTTTATACTTAAAGAACAATACCTTAGGCACTGTTTCATAGTTAAATGTATATGAAAGACAAATATATTGTAAGCAAATATTTTTGATAAGCAATCTTTCTCAACATATAAATGAAAAAAAAAATGTATATATATATATATTACCGAGAACTAAAAAAGTATATATATATATATATATATATATATATACTTTTACTTTTTTAGTTCTCAGCAAAATTTTGAAAAGCTTTGACTTGTAATTACATCAAGTTTTATCAGTATAATTATTAACTTTCAAAACTTTCAAAATGTTTTACAGATTGGCAAAATTAGCACTCAATAATAGCTATTTTGTTAATAATATACATTTTGCTTTTGTCTTTTGTTCCTATGTCATAATTACAGCTAAAAATTATCATAGATTAAAAAATAACACATATATCTATTAATTAAGAGCTGACAAAGGTATAAAACATAGCTGAAGACTGATGAAACAATCTGTGGTATACTTTTACATTAAAAATAAAATATTTTCAAGTGTTTACATTAATTAGACAGAAAGTCAGAATTATTTCAAATAAACCAATAGTTTTCCTTTTTGAAGAGTTATTTTTTTAAATTTACTATAAGAATTATGTAATAAAGAGTTTGAATATTCATAATCTTGATTTCTCCCCCCCCCCACCCGTATGAAAGTCTAAAACAAAACAACTTGAAACTATCTAAATTAAAATAACCAAGAAGATGACATAATATTTCTGCCTGCACATATCTTTTACAATGTTTTTAGTTTTATCAATGGTTTAAATTTTTTGCTAACTTATCTACATATTCATACACGACACAATCTACCTAAATTGCTTTTGGAGTGGATATGCTTACCTAAGTTCTACCACTAAAATTGCATTAATATTTGATACAAAAATATTATGAATTCATGATGACAGCTTCAAATTGAAATATTTAATTGAAAGTTCTTGATATGGTAGTCAAACTATCAACAGAACATAATCAAGCAATCATTTAAGATGAACACACAAATTTTAAATTGTGTAATATTGAAAAAAATTGAATCTACGTAATTTTTTTAATAAATAAAAATTTTAAAAAAAAAGTCACATTTTTTATTCGTGAATGAATAATACACTGCAGTACCAGTTGAAAGCAAAAATATGCATTTTAAAATACTGTTACCTACAGTTTTATTTAAAAAAAAAAAAAAAAAAAAAAAGAGAAGAAAAGGAAAAAGAAATGAACAAGAAGCTAAAAATTAGTAAAATAAAAATTAAAATAGATCCCCTGGCTCAGAAAGAACAGATTCTGTGCGTAAGTGGACATAGATCTCAATACTAATATGCATTCTTAATTTATGTGCTTTGAAAAAACTTTTTTGGGGGGAGGGGACATTAAATATCTTCTTATTTCTGAGCTATTTCATGATCACAATGACATGTCAAAATATATTTCTAAAAAATCAAATTAAAATCACACATTTCTTTTTGTATGAGCTTTACAAGGCACTGTGCAGATATTTTTCTACAACAGAAGGTAGAAACATTGATTGCATAATTATGACAAGAAGTTATTTCCTTTAAGGTATTTTAAACCATGTTTTAAAAATATATATCCAATTCACAATACATGAATCTGAGAACGATCAAATACATCTTTTATACAGTAAATGCTTAATTCAGTTATGAAAATTACATTATTTTTACAAATTTTCTTCATGAAGCAAAAGAAACTATAGAATTTATCTCAAGTAATAAAATTTACTAATATTATTTCCTAATTAATGAAATATATATCTTGAAACAAATAAATTAATATAAAACTTATATACAAAATATTAAATACAATTACTGTTCAGAATTTAAATCAACAATCAGCCTTTTACATCAGCTCCAGTATGGAGCATGAAAAAAATAATTATTAAATAAACATTTAAGCTTTTATTAGTTATTTATTATAAATTTAAATGTTTATTTTGTGTTAAAAGCACAGCATACTAACATTACTGATAAAATTTTCAAAAAGCAATTTTTAGAAGGAAATAATTATGCATTGTTAAGTCTACAACTGATTACATCTATTTTTTAGAATATTATGGGAAGTATGATGAATTTCAATTGCACAAAAGGCCATAAACAAGTGGTAAAATAAAATTAAGCTCTGAAAACAAACAATTTACATTAAAAAAAGACTAACATTTTAGGAACTAAATACACTTTGAAAATATTTTGATTTACTTATCCAATAAAGAAAATTTTTTTAAGCATTAAGAAAAATATATCCAATTTGAGCTGTAATTATGTATGATGTACATAAAAATGACAAAATATAATAAGATCATACCAAATTTCCAATGAAAATACACATACATTATATTCTTTTTTAGCATTAAATAATGTCCTTTTGAGTGGTAAAGTTTAAACATGAGACAAAAGTTAGTTTTGCCATAACAGGTACAGTCAGCCTCATCAAAAAGATAATGTCATTCCATTTATGAGGATCAGTTTTTTCTTTTTCTTTTTTTTTAAATACTGACAAATTTATATTTCATTTCCATGAAATGTATACTGGTTATGATGCCACTTTTGATATGCTGATGCCCACTATCAGGTCACATTCAAATACATGGTGTGAAGAAAATATATTTTTCCCCCTCTCTGGATGAAAAACAAGTTCTTTTCCATCTATTTTTTTTTTCTTCCAGATATGAACAACCTTCACATAACTTGAATCTAACTATGAACAATAATATATGTTCTAACTATCAAATCAGTTGCAATTTGCCAAGGAAGACGGCAAAAGAATATGAGCTACTTTATTTCCCTAAGAAAATATACATGTTTTCCAAATTCCACAGTAGCTCTCATTATAATCCCATTACTTAATTGCCAATTAGGAAATAAACTTATTCAAATTTTTCTAGACTTAGCAAATTTCCCCCAAAATAGTCAACGTTTTATTGCTTGGGGAAGAAATTTAGTGAATATGAAATTTCTGAAAGTGATTGCAAGGAAATTTTTCAAAAAGCAACAACCAAAAAAGGTTGTTTTTGGAGCATTTGGACATTGTTAAGAAATCTATGTAAACTACTGAAGAAAAAATATCAGAAGACCATAAATGTTTGCAGCAAATTTAGTGCAAGTATCAGTAGCTAACAAATCAAACATCAGTTTCAAAATACGCTTAAACCTCCATTAATGGGCAGTTCTCAGTAACTGAGACCTTCAAAGCAGAAGACCAATGCACTCCCATTTAGCAGATACTCCATGATAATGGACAAAACCATGGTCCCATGAGTATTTCCTATAGGGAGGTTCAATTATATTTTTTTATTCATAATCACATGGTGCTAATTTCTTATATTGTTCCTTGATATAAATGAGTTAAAACATATTTTTAATATTTAATAAGGGATAGAATTTGTAATTTTGTTTTATTCATTTATTTTTTTAATATATAGTTTTCTCTTTTACACCGAAAAAGTCTACTTTTATAACTACAGATTACAGGCAACTCTAAATAATAAGTCATATTTTCTGGTCCTAAGTGTGACCTTTTAATGAGGTTTAACTGTACACTAATAAAATAAAAGATATACTTGATAAAAAGTTTACAGGAGATTTTTTAGTATTTCTATTTTTTTAAAGATGGAAAACTCGATGAACTTTTGAAATATTTTTTTTTAATTAAATAACCAGCACTAAAATATTTATCACTTTTAAACTTAGTCAATATTTTCGCCTGATATTTTAATTCTTAAGCATGGGCATATTTATAGTAAAATTTTTATTAAGTGCTGAAAGAATTTCATTTACTTGAGAACAAAAATGTGTACATATATGTTACAAAGATTAAAACATTCTGGAGAAAATAAAACAGACAGTATTACCTCACAGATTTAATAACACAAGCAATACTGTATGTTAAATAGTGCTACACTTATTTGCATCAGGTAAAAACAGATACAATGGAGAAAATAAACTAGAAAAATTCACTCAAAAAAGAAAAATAAAAGATATACAAGTATTTTAACAAACACTCAAACAATTCAAAACAAATAATCACATACAGGAATACAAAAGAACATTGGCTCATGCAACCTGGTGATGTACTGAGGTAACTCCAAGATGGTAGGCAACTAACCTCATAATTTAATCACCAGGTAATTCTACAATGCCACAATATACACAGTGTTTTGCAATCCATATTATGGAATGGCACATCATTAAATACTATAATAGATTTAACAGTCATATTCTAGGTTGTACACCTCTATTCCATTGCTTTTGCTATGAAATCAACAAGCCTTTTTGCATATTGCTCAGGGTGAACCGTAGAGATTTCTGCATTGGTTCCATGTTTAACTGCTTTGGCTGCCTGTGCTGTCCTCTTTTTCATACCATAATGAGTTAAAACATCAACTAATGCTAAGAAATAAATTTCTTTCTTTGGGGCACCTGCAATTTAGATAACACTTGAATTCTTGCAGAGTTACCAAAATTTGTACATGAAAATAATAAACTGCCTATTTAACATTATTCCAAATACAATAACTGTTAATTCACCAAAACATTATATGAAAAAATACATAATTTTAGCAGTACAACTAAATCAATAATTTAGAACAGCATGAATATTAACCACCAATTTACAAAAGTTGTAATTTTAGAAAAATTTGAATTTTGAAAAAAGTCTAAAGAAACCAGCTTTTGCAATACAGAATACTTTTCATGTGTGGGTATAATTTCCTGCGGGTAAATGTTTAGAAGATCCAGAGAGGTTTTACAGAGTAAGGGTGAAGGATCCAAAAGATAATCTTATAGATAATGGGGGGGGGGGGGGCTCAGAAATAAAAGGGCAACAAGAATGTGCTTGAAAATAAGTTAGCCAAAAAACTTTTTAAACATTCATACATCTTTAAAAAAATCATACTAAGTGATGTCAACCAGCCATTCATCAGCTGGCACAAAAATCATATTAAATAATGTCAGCTGACAAGTTGGTTTACAAAGTGTGTAATTTCATTTATCTTATGGAATTTTAGTCTAATATTCTAAAAACATGGCCACAAAAATGTACTTGCAATAATACCCATTACAACAAGACTCCCACTAACATATTTAAAAAAAAAAAAAAAAAATTAAACTTGAAATTAAACTCAGAAAAAAGCCTAGTTTTCACTATATAATATAGCAATGCAAATAAGATAAAACTTAACTTCCATAAATTTCTTTCATTTAGTTGTAATCAGAATTTTCATTCTATTCAGGATATTTTTAATACATATTTTTTAAAACATTCTTCATATCTTTTATGACAAGTTCCTTGCATGACTACTTTTACCAGTTTTAATGTAGGTTTCCATATATAGCAATTTGGATTAGATCTATTTAATGCCTGTTTTGCTGTTAGCTGCTGTTTCGCAGTTCGTAAGTGAATTTGTGGCGTTTGTTGCTATATGGTTTACTCTAAATATTGATTTAAATGAAATAATGTCCATTCATCATGTAAATTTAGTTTGTCTTCAGACACAAGGCAAGAAAAATGACACTATTAAATGTAAAATTGAGAATGGTCATTTGGCATGATCATGTACCTGTACTGGCTAATGAACACCGAGAATGGCAACAATTTCATCATCATTTAGAGGAAGTCTCTTTTTAATTTCCATACTTAGTTCAACAGAAAATTTCAAATGTTTGCTTTTAAACCTGCTTTTACTGTCATTAAGTGGTGCTGAATTTAATACGGTCTACAACAGTCTCTAGTATATTTTATTCACAGGTTTAATGAATTTATTGCATTTCTTAAACCAGCCTGCACAAAGTAATGATTTTAGCTTTTATGAAAAAACTAACACTATTTTTATATTCAGTTGAAGCTATAGAATGAAGTCAATGCAATTTGAAATCCTCAGATTGAAATTCGGTATTCAGAGAGTTTATTTTCTCCAGCACATATCCTAAAAACAGCAACATATGTTTACTTTCTTTTGTGATCATTGCACTACAAATATTCCCTCCACCGTCCATTTTTGATACAGACTGAAAATAAAGAACTAACAAATTTCACTGTTCAATACTAATTTTTATTACACTGCTATGGGATGCCCACAAGTGACTAAGCAGAAAAGTCGTTGAATACTCCATGGGTTATATTCCAGGTGTATGGATTCTCCACATGGGGGAATTAATGTGGAATTCCCCACATGGTATTCTCCATGAAGATGTGATGGAAGTACTTGGACTGACTGACTAGCACAAAATGCAAAAGAAAGCCAAACACATTTTCATGTTAAATGATGGTGGTGCATCCTTTTTAGCAAAAACTTGACCCACTCTTAGTACCTATTATAGTGGCACAATTCTCACTTTGAAAGCCATTGAAATTACCTACTGGGATGCTTTTTTTCCATGAAAAGATCTTTATCAGCTTGATCAAGCCCTTCTAAAGTAACATTTTTGAAACAAACAATGTCAAGTAACACATCTACAACACTTTTGAATATCAAAATATTTATTAACAGCTTGAACCTGAGATACAATATCCGTATGTTTTAATCTAGTTCCACTAAAAATTTGTTTCTACATATGTCAGAAATAATTTTTTTCCCATGATAGGCATGTCACTTCGTATATGATAAGATATTTTAATTGCCTTCAACTAAACTTATTTCACAATACTGTTATCATGAAATGCTTTTTTACATTTTTCTATAAGATAATCACAATGCACAATTGGAATCTGATGCTCTGAAATGAGTGCGTTTTCAAAATGGCAGCACACTACTAAGACGAATTAATCAATAAAATTTCAAAAGCAGGAAACAGTGGAAACAGGAAACAGTTTCTTGAGAAATTTTTCTACTATTTTTTGCACTATTATTCCCCTTATGCATTCACAAACTCAGCTTCAATATACAACTCTGGAACTATGCACCAGCCAAAAGAGGCACATAACTATTTTGTAGACATACTGCTTTGCCTCATGAATGCTTTTTTTTTTTTTTTTTTTTTTTTTTTTTTCTCCTCTTTGCCACAGTGCATGCAAATGCTGTGTATAGGTTTTAGTGAATAATCAAGTGCAAATAAACACAATAATTAACCTTTTTTTGTCAAATGAACATTTTGACAGTTAAAATACAGCCACAATAATTGCAACCTCATGTTCAATTGATACACAATTGAATCATACTGCTGTAGACATATAAAACATAACCCCTAGCTATGTAAATAATTTTTTAAACTCCCCAATTACCACATATTAAATTCACAATAAATGTACCGGAGGAGGGAGGAAAAAAAAAGAGCCTTTATCCTAACTCTGGAACTAAATTCCTTAAGAAATCTTCACATATTCACACTCATGCATTACCCACACTATATGCAAGGGAGGTTAACAACTACTTATACAGGCAGGCTTCGGTAATCAAAAATCATTTTCAACAACACACTAAACTGTCCTAACAGTCTCTGTATCTGACACCGTAGATACGAACATTACACATGGTCATTTTCCAAATTTGTCACTCACAGTCACAGAGCCTGAACTTCTATGGGACTTGTTTTTACACTTCGAAGACAGGAACCTCACCCAGAACATCGCACTTCATAACAGTCAATTGCTAATATTCTAAGCTGCTAGCTAATTATCAGTCAGAAATATCTCTTCATAATACTTCATAAACACAAAAAAAGTTATCCATCAGAGAGATTCAATCAGTGACCTTTATCTCTCAGCCTTAAAAGTCTGCAAACTGAAACACTTTATCCCATTGGACAGAAACTGTTACTGTTCCGTCATTTCTTAATTGTCTGTAAAACTGGAACACTTTATCACTGTAGGGCAGGAACCTTTATTGCTCAGTCATTTCTTAAATATTGGTAAAACTGAAATGCTTCATCAGTGTAGGGCAGAAATCTTTATCATTTTGTCTTTCCAAGTCATCTTTGATATAATGTTCTTCATCTAAAAAAAAAAACTACACACCTTTATATAAGTTTCTCCACTTTTATCTTTTCTTCTTCATTACTGCTAAACTCAGTCAAAGCAAAAGCTAAAAGTCCCTAACCCCCCCCTTCTTTGACAAAATCTTTCTTATTTAATTCCAGACTTTATTAAATAAATGCCGTTTTCTGATGCAACCACTAGAGACATTAGAGTTTAATTGTTCAAGCCCAATCCACCACAAACTTTTCTGAACCAATTATAACTGCATAACTATTAAAATTAGGCACCACACATATTTTTCTTCATCACTCCAAGAAAAGATGAGTAGAGTATTTTTCCCAACTCACTCACCAAGACAGGTCACTATTTTCCCGTAACAATAATATGTCTCTTAAGAAAATAATAAGTCTAGTAGAAAACAAAAATTCATTTTATACTTTGTTTATGGAACTAATAAATTTTTTGATATATTTTTTCAAATACAATCTCGGTTAAAATAAAATTCAGTAAATAAAAAAGTAAAATTCTTTCATTGCATTACAGTAAGCATTTAACCTATAGGGGGGAGATAATCCAATTAAATGAATTTTTCAAATAATTGGAATATCTGTCAGTCATGATAGACTGTGACTTCAGACAGAGGGTATCCAGGGTCACTCTGCTTTATTCAATTTAACAGCATTAATGCAAATAAAAGAATAAACTATACTGCACAAAGCCTGGTAAAGAATCTACATTATAAATCATTGAATGAAACATATTACATAGAACTAGGCTCACTTTCAGAACTTGGCGTTGCATAAATGTCTCTAGCAGGATTAAGGCCATCTCCATTTAATGAAACTTCTCGGTTAGCGCGTGGTGAATCTGGAGGAGTAGGTGCGGCACCTCCAATGCCACTTCCTGCAGAATCTTCATCTTCTTCCGAACCAGGTCCATTTTCACCACTACCTTCTGCATCTGAATCAACTTTTTCTTTTTCCAAAGCATCCTGTTCGCTGCGTTCACAATCATGGATACCCACAACTACTGAGTAGTCCATCAAATTCATGGAGGAGAGAAACTGAAATTCATTTTATAATCTTAAGTAAAGTGCAAGCACTGTATTAAAAAAGCATATACAATAATGTAGAAAGGATTTTGAAAAATGTGGCCAGTGATTTTATTCCTTTAACTAATGATTCTACATTTGTACTTCTAATTAAAGGTATAAGGTATTTCTCTCACTTTCCTAGCGTGCCTTTGTGGTGTAGTGGTCCTGCAACCGGTATTCCAGAGATCCACGGTTCGATTCCCGGCGAAGGCGTTGTTAATTTTTCATCCTTCCTGCTTCCTAAAAAAATACTAACGTCTCTACAGTGGCGCCCGAACTAAAAGGGTGTTGGATGAGGATTCTCCACACCTAGGATTTGGAGATTAGGTTACCTAAAACCCTAGTCGCCCTTTAAAAAAGGGAGTATATAAGATATTTCTCCAGCTTTCCTAACGTGCCTTCGTGGTATAGTGGTTCTGCACGCTGGGCCAGTATTACAGAGGTCCGTGGTTCGATTCCCAGCGAAGGCGTTTGCTAACTCCTGCTTTTCCAATTAACCTAATGTCTCTAAAAAAGGATAACCATCTCCCTGAATGCATTTAAAATCATGAAAATTATATGAGACCTAGTTCATTTATCTGAGACTGGAACCAGTTCAAACTATGTTCCTGTTACATGGTCTTATTAGTATAGTCAGTGGTAGGGACAGAATTTTATGAAAATAGTAATTCATACCATAGAATCAGCACTCAACATATCAAGGATTTTTTCTTTGGCTTCTGATCCAATATACATTTTGCATCCATCTTTAACAAAATCATTGTCCTTCAATACCGGGATATCCTTTTCCTATTTAAACAATAAAAATAATCACTTCACACATATAAACTTCCTTTCTTCAGATACAAAGAATTACATATATACATATACAAACATATACATATATACACAAAACTGGCACCAAGTTGGTGCAGTTGCACCAGGAAACAATATTTTTATTAAAATTTATAAAGGCACCAGAATTTAGAAGCCTCAGACTGCACTGGAGGGAGGGGGAAGGCAGAATGCCTAGCACTAGCTCTGCTTATATACATTTATACATAAGTGCAAAACAAAAAATATGTAAAATAAAATTTGTGGTATTTCCTATATAATTCAGACGTATCTTGTTTTCTATCCCAGAAAGATTACTATAATAAAATTAATCCTTGTGATGTGATTCTTATATATCACACAGTCCGTCATCTGGGTCTGCTTGTGACTTTGGTGATTTCAGGAATTTTCAGATAATCAGTTTAAATCTTGTAAGATGAAATACAGAGATCATAAAATTCAAAATATAGAACAGTTTTAGTGAAATAATGGACCATTTATGATTTTAAAGAAATCAAAATTTATTTAAAAAAGGACTCAATACTTATTTGTTTTATTAAATATTTCTTTAAGTTATTTAAACTAATTCATTTTTTTACTAATTATTTCTCATTAATTTTATAGAAAAGTTCATGTTCAGCTACAAAGTGCAAGCCTTGTAACTTGTAACTCAAGAATTCCTTCTAAACTATCAACTGAAATCTTATACTCAAAAATCTCTGTCACTTTCATCACTATCGGTAGCGATAGTTTCTGGATTTTACTAGAGATTTCATTTTCCGTTAGTTGACTACTGACTGGGGCAATGTTATTTCAATGGAAAACTCATCTTCATTTATTATGATTTTCTACATTTTTCCTCAAATTTCATTAATTGGAAAATTTTGCTACAGATCCTGCTCAGTTCCAAAATTAGAAAGTCTGTTTGACATGATCAAAAATTTAATTTTGATATGAGCCACAATAATAACAGCCTGCAAAAAATTAAAAGCTGGATCAAATTAGTTAAGAAGGAATGCAATTTGCTATTTAGCTGAACTTAACTTCTTCTGAGTCTAATTCTTTCTCTCTTCCCCCTGTAATGCCAACAAATGAAAATGAATATCAGCAACACCCCACTCCAAACATAGATGTCTTGGGGCTTCACTTAGATCAGACTATAAAATACTTCCAGCTCCCCCACCACTACAATAACTCATGATCCAATAATATAGTTGCAGCTAATGTCAATCAGTGTACTGTTAATGGTCATGATGATGCGATTTCCTCGCCAGCAGCTGTTAAGAGATATATAGAAATCTCAGTTGGCAGGAGAATCACTTTTATGACACACCTGGTTTTTTAGGTGTTAATATTCACCACTCCTAAATATGAGGAAAAAAACTTCCAAAATTGAGAAAAAACATGGAAATATGGAACAAAACACTGAAACCTTTCACAAAAGCTGAAAAGCAAATTCAAGAGGCAGTTAAATATTTATCACAAAATATAAGAAGGGAAAAAAAAAAATTAATGAATTTTCTGCTCAGAGACACTACTTCTAGTCACAACAAATTATTTCAAATGAGTAACAATCACCTGCCTGTTTTAATTACTGTAATTTCGCACGTATAATCCGCACCATCGTATAGTCCGCAGACACGATTTTATATAAAAAAAAATTCAAAAATCATCAGATAGTCCGCGGACTATACGTCCAAAATTACGTTTTTTTAATACGGCAATATTCCCATGCTTTTTAAAAACATCCTTTTGTTTGCTCCAATTTCTCACCCTTTCTCGTCCACTTCAAAATAATGGGGTAAAATCCTAGTATACGGTGCAGCCTTGGCACGACTTTGAAAATTATCGCCAACACCAAAAATGATCCAAAGAACGTCTATATATATACTATACACACATAGTATATGTATATACATACATAGTATATACTATACACACATAGTATATGTATATACATACATAGTATATATACTATATACAGAGTATATACTATGTTTAACTATATATTTTCCTTGAATGACCCGTTAACTACTCATCGTATATGTCCCGTTTTCACTGCTTATCATAAAGTTGCCAAAAGTAGTCAAATCACGTGTGCACCGGATACTAGGGTTAAACAAATAACGGCCCGTTTCTCTATTTCCATCTTTTTCAGCATTCTCAACTACCTTGAGTTTAACTCAGCAGTAAAACTCCGGCGATGTTTCATCAACGTTATCGAAGATGAAAGACAAAATACGAAAACAAAATACAGTGCAACGTGCTATCCTCGTGATAAGTGGTAATGAAATGTGACCTTCGACCCCACTCACTCGGTGTTGCCAAACCATGCTATAAGTAAACGAATCACGCTTTTTTTTCGTACACCAGGTACTTGCTACTATGGCTCGTAAAAACCGAGTTGACGCATCAACTACTTTTTGTTGGAAAACATAGCTTATTTTTAAACCTTTTACTGCATCATCTCTCCTCCTTGAAATGTTTATTTAGTTTAGTCCTTATTTTAATGTAATATAGTAGTTACTTCTACTTCTTTTTCTTGCTGCCACTGTTTGCATTGAGAACGGACTGTTTCAACCTAATTGTGATGCAAAAACGAAACATGTTACATCATCTGAAAAGCCGATTCGTGTCGATAGCTGATTGGTTGCCGTGAGATGACGTCATTCCTACTTCTGCTATAAGTATCTCGCGTCGCTCTGGCTCAACCCTTCTAGTTCCTGCTTTCCTGGCACTTGAGTGAGCGGTTTCCAGCCTCTTCAGAAGGATGCATGCAGTCCAGTGAATAAAGTGCCTTGGTTCCGGTTTGCAGGATGGCTGTTCCAGAATAAAGTTCCTTGGTTCCAGAGGCTACCATGTGAGTGACTGCCATAGGCGGCATCCATGTTCTTCAATAAAGGTGGCAATTAAAAATACGTGAGCAACGGAGTGCCACGGAGTTAGACAAACGGAGTTAGGCCGGTTTTAAGTGTTTTCAAGAACTTGATTTAAATTTCAGGTGTTTTTCTTGACCATTGATTATGGACGTTATTGAATGTGTAGCCAGCTTCATTTTTAGGCCGCATAATTAACTGTTTAGGACTTTTTGTTTGTATAGAATGCCAGTGTTTTGGAGACCAGGTAAAAATATTGTTTGATGAATGATGATGATTATATTATATTTTTCCTAAGACTGATATTGTTGACATTTATTTTCTGTGTTTTTATTCTTTATTATATTGTTAATAAATTGGTTAAGTTCAAAATCTTTTATTGTCTTCAATGTCTGCACAACATATCTCAGGGAGCTTTTATTGCTACTACTGCTAAATGTTTAATTTCTTTAAACTTTAAACTTTGCTTTAAGCATCACTTTTTCCCCTCCCGGCAGTTGCGCTAAAGCAGCGCGAAGGATACTGGGATACAAAACTCTGTTTGCGCTAAAGTGAGTGCTCATACAAGACTTTGGCTCAGATCCCGGCATCGCTTGATGCGCCAGCCTGGATTTTAGGAGCTCTACTTGCTACTACTCATTCGTTCTGCACTATGCTGTATGGTTTACTATCAATACGATACATACGAATGTTTTCTTAGAATCTCGCGCTTTTTTTATATTTGATCATCGGCAGTTCACGACAGCGTGTTTTTAAATTTCAACGATTTTAACCGTGAACAACCAGCATATTATCCGCATTGGTGGATAGTCCACAGCTTCAAAAATTCGCATTTTAAAGACAGATAGTCCGCGGACTATACGCCCGAAATTAAGGTAGATATAATTTATATGTTTTTGTTCATTTTAAATAATTTAAGGAAAGCATATGTATTAATTTTTTTTAAATATGTATGTATGCAGCACAGCTGTATATATATTCAAATAAATTGTTTATCAGTGTGATGCAAGTTTATACATTAAACCCATTTAAGTTTTTTTTTAAAAAAAAGGATAGTTGGAAAAAATATTACCAAGGCTATCAAAAATAAAACAAGTCTTCGATTTGTGTCAGAATCAACTTAAGACAGGTCTTTTGTAATGTCACTCATTATAGGTATCATATCATAACTTTCAAAACTGCATAAAAATAAACCACAAAAAAGAGATTTTACTGTACAAAAGGGAAATACTGATCATTTGTGCAATAAAAATGAATTTTTTGCTTTAATGCTTTAGAATTAATTTTTATTTTTCTCTTAAAATTTAGTTCGTTTTGAAATTTTATACTAGATTATAGTGAATCTGGACTGATTGATCTAAGTGGACTATGCAAAGTACAGTATATTAAGCCTATGCAAGGTACAATATCTTAAAACTGCCACGAAAATTAAAACCGTTGAATTTTGGTTGTATGTTTTCTTAATTTCTATTATTTCATTTAAGAAAATTTTCTTCCATAGATATTTAGCCGCATAGATGACATTATAGCACACTTGTCTTTAATATTAACATTTAACTCCACAATAATTGATATTGTTTTGATGGCTATTCTAATTAAGCAAAATCTAAATTAACAAATACATACTGTATTAGAATATGCAAAATTGAACTTAATAATATTTTTGCACTTAGACCATACATGTTAAATTTAATTTAAAAAAAAACTTAAAAGTTTTATTATTGTGTTCTCCCATCTATTTGTTCTTTCTACATTATAACACTGAAGATTTTACAACTAATTTTATACACTTACACAGTAACCTCACCAGAACATTAAAAGCACTACATTTATAAAATAAAGAATATTGTAATGCATTAAATATACAAAAATTCCACAGAATTCATAACAACATTGTTAGTAAGTAATTTACACCTCTTCTACTTTTCAAATTATGTATCATATATATTTCTATTACTTCAAAACAAATTAAACACTTGGCTACAATTCTTCATTATAACTTTCATTGAATTTACATATATATTCACTTTGTGCAGATTTAAATTCTGTTGCCATGACTTCCTTCTGAAGTACTATTTTTTTTTAAAGCCTTAATTTTCTTACATATCAGGCATCCTAATTTCTGTATATATTACATTCTTACTTCATGACTATTACTTTATGAGACATATTTGAAGGAATATCCATACTAACTACTGTGTAAAATTTTAAATTTGTTCAGCTGAGTTAAATATCAAATGCTGAACAATTACAGTCACTCTGTAGAACATTTACAGATACGGTACAAAATACGTAATCTGGACTTGTCAGGACTTCGGCAATTCTGGATTTGGGTTTTTCTGGATTATAGATCATCAATTTAAATCCGGTAAGATGGCATGCAGAAATTATACAATTAAAAATATGAAACTGTAATTTATGAAATAAAGAGCAATTATGATCTAAAGGGTATCAAAATTTACAAAAAAAAGGGTTAATATTTATTTGTTTACTTTATTAAACATTTCTTTCAATGTAAGTTGTTTAAAATTGCTTCGTTTTTTGTGCTAATACTTTATCTTTAATTCTATAAACAGACAGAATTTCTTGTTCAGTTACAAAGTTCCACTGTTCAAGTCCTGCAATTGCTGCGTCGAGAATATCGACTAACTCGTCAATTGAAATTTTTTTTGTTTTCAATAATTTCTCTGTCTATCACTTTCTATCGGAAGCGTGCATGGGTTAATGCTTTACGCGCATGCGTAAGTTTGTGTCTTTGAGGTCCGGATTATAGATTATTCCGGATAATGGACGTCCGGATTACAGACTTTGTACTGTATATGCAATAAGTGTTTGGAATAAATATTTAGAAAGTACATAAGAAATACTACAATAAATACATTAAATGCTTATTGTACATACTTTTTCTTTCTCACTTGCTTCTCTATCAACTGTAGAACCCTGTAATATAATAAACACAATCAGTAATCAAATAACAATCATTATTTAAACATGAAAAATCAAAACATGCAAATTTCAATCAAAGGATTATATGGTGACTGCTTTAAACATCATCAATTACCATTAACCCATTAGCCGCTAATGCTGCATTGACATAACAGTCAAAATAAATACGTATGAAAATGTAACTACTACGGATATTTTATACTGGCTGATGATTTTGTGTAGGAAATATTATGATTATTTATGTAAAAAAATATTTGTCATCAACAATAAATTTCTTTATAATAATTACTCTTGTACTTGAAGCAAAATTTAAGCAAACTTTTCAAACAGGTATTTTTGCCAAAAAAAAATTAACAAAAGAATCGCCGAGCCCTAAACAGGGGTTTCGCTAGTTTTAGCCAAAGTCACCGCTTATCAGAAAATTCCATCAGTCAGCTGTTTGCATTTGTGTGGGGGATGGGAGAGAATATAGATGTTGCAGTGGTGCAACATCAGTGAGAAAAGAGCATTCCCCTTTTTTACCCAAGCCTTTAGATGCTCTGGCTCATATTCATTCCATGCTTTAAAAATGCCTAGAAGGAGGTACCTTACATTAGAAGAAATCCTTCAAAGATTTTCTGATGAAGAAACAGATGATGATAATGACCAGAATGAAACTAATGTTGTTGTTCCACCAGAAACTACAGAAGCTAGTGATGAAGACTAAGACAATGGTAATGATATCTTACCAAATGATACTGCTGGGGACGTTAAAGTTCATTTAAGAAGTAAGTTTCAGCCTTCTAAAAGCAATGCTAGTCATACCAAAAGTTTAAAAAACAAAAAACTGAAAACTTGAAATGGATAAAAAAGGAACCATCAATTATGATTTCATCTTCTCTGTCATCTAAAAAATAAAAGATTTTAGTGCTACAGGAACAATTCAGGAAAACCACACACAAATGTGCCCACTAGAACAATGAAATGTGTTCATAAAAAATACAAGGATTATTATGATGTCTAGTACAAAGAGAAAAACAAAATAATTTTTGTCCAATGGAATGACAATTAGGTTGTAACTGTTGGTAATTTTATTATAATTTTATTGTACATAATAATACATAATTTTATTATTGGATAAAGTTAATTCTTAAGACAAATAATATGACTCACATCATCATGGGTGCAATGTGCACCCTACATTTTTGATAGTATAACACATTTTCAGACAATGGATGAAGTGAGCAGGAGTGAAGTAAGCAAAAAAAAAGTCAGAAGAAGCACAAGCAAAAAAAAGTCGGAAGAAGAACAAGACACAGAATCAAAAAATTTTGTTCTTAGTCGAAATCTTTAATCTCATTGGTTAAACAGTTAAACTCACACATCAGTATTATGAAATATAGTATGATGCAAATTAATTTTGAAATGACACAGTTTAGATAATAAATAGGACAGAAAAGGAAAGTACCCAAATTAAAATAGAGAATAAAGGGACCACAAAAGGATACTGATTAACAATTTTTTTCTATCTTATGAACAACATTCCATACAATTCGATTTGATGTATGATTCTTTAGTACATTCCCCCCCTTTAAACAATCTAATTGCAAGTTATAAAATGTGCTCCATATAGTTTTATCTTAAATAAAAAAAATTGTAACATGTTCGAAATGGACGTAGATGCAACTACACACGGCATATTACCAAAAATGTTTCAACATAATTTATAAGCAAACTTACTTTCAAATCATATTTCTTATGGATCTTCAAGCGTGTAGTAAAGATATTCCGCATAACGACGATGTAAGTCTCTGCTCCTTCAACTGTTAATCTGTACATCCCTAAATATTGAGGTAACAGAGTTTTGCCATGCCTTTCCACTATATACTAAATAATGAAATATAGGTATTAGTTTGATATTTCAATGAAATTATCAAAGCATCAATCAGTCTCAACAAAATTTTATTACACAACAACTTTTCAAAACTATGTAGAAATATTTAAAATATAAACTAAAGTTGTAAGTAATTATATGTATTTAAAGAACTATCACATGTTATTAAATAAATAATACTTCTAATAAGCTAGAATGCAAGATCTGTTAAAAACATTCCTGACCTTATACAATAATACACTAATACATATACATTCTTATGCTTAGTAATAATGAAATAATGCTTGACAGGAATTCTCGTTTAGAATATTTCCTTGCAATCAGTCACTGTATTGTTTCATTTTGTTTAAGAGTTCTTTCTGTGTATCCAATAATTTTTCAAAATTTAATTTGTAAATTTACGAACAGCATGTTGAGATCAAATTTTATGAAAAATAGGTAAATTGTTTACATAGAATAATTAAAATAATGGTTAGATTATTTAAGACAAAGTGCACTAGGACTATTGTACTTGGTGATATTATGAACTACACAAGACCTCAGTTCCGAGGATAAAGCACACATGAACCAGGTTCCTCATTACAATTCTTCTGGGCAGGCAAGGCAGCAAACGATCAGAGTTGGACTATTTCCTTCTCCTGTTACAGAAAGATGAGAATGCCTGCTTCTCTTAGACCAGATGAGGTCACACAGGCTTCATGTCTGAGCTTTTATGAGTCTCTAAAATAAAGTTTGAACTCTTTCCGCCTACCAAACACAGATGCAAAAGATATAATCCCACTGTTGCTTTCTATAGCAGGAGTGGGTATATTACTTAAAGTTATCATGAGGAGCGATAGCCTTCATGAAGGATTTTCTAAAGGAAACTGGATTGCATATATGTAACACATGGGAAAATAAATGAAACTTCGTGAAGCTATTCTGTTCAACTATGTAAGTAAAATGTAGGGCAATCTACAAACTTCATTGATTTAGCCACTCAAAAACTTGATCTATAAAATGTGAAACCAAAGTTACAGCAATAAGTGCTTATGCTGTAATCCACATCATGAATAATTTAATCTAGTTACACTGAGAGGAATTTCATTTTTTCTTACTATGCCTTTGTGACGGAATTGAAAGTGCATCCAGCTAGCAAATGGGAGAACCGAAGTTCAAACCCTCCCGATGGCATTACTAATTTTTTTCATGTTCCCTGTTCAAAAGCAGAAGGGGGGATCTGAAGGACTACAAGTGGTGAAGTTAAAAATGTGGTGGATGATAATGTTTATCACCACTTGGATTTGGTTCCTTGGTCTCATCTTTCTTCAGCTGCCCTTTAAGTGGAGGAGAATGTAAGGAATTTTCTTCTTCCTTAACTTCAAGGTTAAGTGAAAGCACATCTGGCTAGCAATCTGAAGATCCAGAGTTTGAATTACGGCAAGGAAGAATTTGATTTCTTCTGTCTCATTCCAATAGATGCCCAAGTGCTCTACAATGCCAAGCAGTATATTATTTTTATTATTTATTATGATTCCACCTGCTTTGCCTCTCAATGGGGTACTACAGGTCAATCATGTTATCCTGATCGGTGCACCAGCAACCTTTTTCGATTGTTTATTTTATCAACCTTATTATTAATAAACAGACTTAACATTAGTTTATTACTTTTTTGGGTGCTCCAACTTACAATGGTTTGGGTATGTTAGTACAAAATTAGCAAAAAGGGTTACTTAAGTTTAGAGATATTTACATATATCTATGAAAGGAGAATTGCTGCCTTTGCATTTCATCAGTTGCCTAGACCTGGTTATCTGCTATGATTATGTTTCTCTTAGAATAGACGTACTCTATAATGGTTCTGATGTCCCACTGTCCGTAGTAATCCTAAAGAAGGTCTTAGAGGGTATGTGATCCCTGGAGCTGAGGGAGAGAGGCTCTGATGGGAGAAGTGAGTGGACAGTCATGGATGTAATGTGAGACGTCTGCTGAAGAAGCTGAGGCACCGCAGGTGCATTTGACGTTTTGATGGCAGAACTTGCTGAGGTAGGCAGGAAATCTTCCATGATTTGTGAAAGCTTGTTGTAGATAGTAGTCTGATTTGAGCCTCTTGGTGGAGACCATGGGAAAGGTGAAGTAGGTATATGAAGCAATATATGAAGCAGGATATGAAGACTATACTCTGTTTTCTGATTAAATTCCAAAATCTACTGAGTGCTTAATAATTTTTCAAAGCACTCTTCATCCTACTCTTAAGAAATAAACTGTTGGTAGGCTTAGAATATCTGATTCAGCTGTAATGATTTTATCTCTCTCTTTTGATTTTTGTAACATACTTTCATGTGGCAATTTTTCCTTCTGGACAGTCTCGCAAAAGCATTTATTTGCCAATTAATGAGGACCAGATATAATTATGCATTAAAGCACCCATTGTGGTAACCCATTTATTTCACTTTATGAATAGCTACACAGTGAAATTATCACAAATAAAGAAGGGATACAAATAAAAGAACATCAATCCCATAATTTTATTCATTGGCATTTTCAGTTGCTTCTTAAATAATATAGATAATGCAATTTGTCAACTGCTACGCTGTCAAGTCATGATTTGTCGAGTCATAAAGTCAACTGCTATGCTTTCAAGACAAAAGCAAGATCCATAATGAAAGAAAATCGCATTTTATTACTGCTGGAGCACTGAAATGGTATTGTGATAAAAGATCATTTCATGGGGAAGAAAAGGACAAAACAACAGATTGCTTCAGTTTTGCTGGTCGCATATCACACCATTCATAATTAAAAAATTGATGCTTATAGCAGTATAGAAAATACAAACATATTTAAAAAGTAAAACATAAACCAATTAATGATTCCATTAAAAAGAAAAAATTAATGAGAAATAATACCATAATCTGAAAAATTTAATTTAAATATCAAAGTAGCATTTGTAATACATACATATGCACAGAGATGAAAATTGCCATACTTTTTCCTACTTCAATTTGAGAGGGGGCAAAAATTATTTATATCATTTAAAACTTTTTTAAACAAATCACCTGTTTCTCTTCTCTACATGACTTCAGCGAGCTAAGATTCCACACAGAAACATGCTATTTTTCAATATTTCTTATTGTGCCATTTAGATTTTGGAAAATGTATCAATCTTCCTGATGGCAATTGAAACAATATTTGACAATTCATTGCTTCTGTCTGGATAAAGGTAAAGTACCAACAATACTGAGATGATGCCAAACAACTGATAATAATATTTTTTTCAGGTCTAGTTACCTATCTTAATTACAGTACTCATTTTCCAGCTGGAAATGTTTTACTTATAAATGACTGACTTATACTCTATAAGCTACTGATGCAATTACTGATACATTTCAACTGAATCATATCATCAGTCAACGGATAATCATTCTAACCCAAAACTGAAAATGCATCCAATTGCATATGTTTGCTCTCAACACCTGCTAATTCATAATGAGATATGAAACTGCAGAACAAGCTCTCAGAAGCATTTCAAGTACACACATGAAGAAAAAAAAATCATGAAAAGGAAATTATTATTGCTTTAAGACACAGGCTTACAGCTACAATATTGAGAAAATGGAATCTTCATAATGGATCGGAAACAGTTCTTTCAAGATTTGAAAATAATAATAATAATAATAATAAATATTACATCAAAAGAGAAAATCTAATCTTATATTGAAGGTAATGCTGTTTTTTTAATAAATTGTAACATTTTTTATGTATTGAAAACGTGTGACCTTGCTCATGAAAAATACTTCATGCAAGTTCAAGAAACCTGAACTTATACAAGTTCATGCATGGAGTAAATATGAGTCCAAAATAAAATTTTAACTAATTATTTAGTAAATAAAGAAACTAGAAATTTGACATCTAATATAAAATAAAGCTCATGAGCTTGATGACAAATACTGAAGAAATGAAGTGATAGTGAATCATGGTTTAAGAGAAGAATGCATTTCTTGAGCCAAATAGAGCCCATACACGTGCTCATGTGTTAAGACACAACTGTAAAAAATTAAAACAGGACTTGGAATTAATAGTGAAATTGAAGATTACAATTTCATATTTTATTGACAAATATGAATATCTTTTTCATTCACTTCCGCCACTGAATATCTTTTTTTTTTTTCGGTACATATTCATCTTTATTTTCACTCAAAAAAAAACGCACATTTAAAATTTTGCCTCTAATAATATTATAGCTTAAATTTTTAATGTCAATTTCAAGTCTAAAAATTCATTAAAAACAGCAAGTTATGAATATTACTTACAGGATGATACTGCTTCAGTAAGCTATGCATTTGTTCAACCTCTTCACTCTGAAGCGTTTTCATGATAAAAAATCGATCGTAGGACTCGTAAAATTTTGCACCACTTCGGCCAGGGTAGTCCACAGCAATGGGCTGTGACTTTGTGAGAGAATTCTAAATTCAAAACAGGAAGTAAGATTTTTTTAAGGGGAAGTATAAATATGCAACATTAAAGATAATTATTACACAACAAACATTCATGCAGCCACAACCAAATACCATCTTTGCACTTGTATGCTCCTAGACCAAGATTACATTGCACAATTAATTATCATATCACATTCAATTAGAAACTATAAATAGTAATATTTTATTAAATAGTAAATTATTTAACGGTAAGAGTTTTTTTATATTTGGTAGCAAATTTTAAAAAAAAGTTTGCTATGTTGTGTTGCTTAGCTACAGGTTTGTTTTTAAATTTATATTTCTTAAGTTATTTTATTCTTTTTTCATATGTTATGGATGATCATAGTACATATTTGGCTATTGAGCACCTGCCAATATATTGTCAAAAATATCACTCATCTCTCTAGTTCTTTCAAGTGTTCAGTACTACAAGGAAACTATTTCAAATTTTTCAATAAAGATGAGATATATATATAAAGATGAGGTTTATATATATATATATTCTTTGTTAATAGTTTATTTAAAGATAACTAAGGACAGCGGGTTAGTTTTTTCTTTCTTTTAACTGAAAGTCACACTTTGATCCTGAAACTGGAAACAAATAATGGAACACGATGGAGTTTCAAGAAAATGAAGGAATAAGCAGAATGTGGTACAGCTTTACATCATTCTTTTACTTATTTGTCAGAGTTCATCAGGAGGCAGAGGCAAACTACAGAGAATAATAATTTGTTTGATGCCATTTTTGAATGCTATTACCAAACAATACCCATCTGAAATCAAAAGACCAGATTTTAATGCCTTAAGATTGCCTGCAGTATATTATCAAGCATCAGATAATCTTAAAGTAGCCTCTGTTCATAGTTTGTGTACTTAATTTATTAACAAACTTGATAATTTGCCCATTTATGCCTACTTATTTCAAATTTCAAATACAGTCAAAAGTCGTTAATCCCGACTTGTCAGGACTTCGGCGATTCCGGATTATTGACTTTTCCGGATTATAGATCATCAGTTTAAATCTCGTAAGATGGCATGCACAAATTCTAAAATTAAAAATATGAAACCGTATTTTAGGAAATAAAGAACAATTATGATCTAAAGAGTATCAAAATTTACAAAAAAAGAAGCTTAATATTTATTTGTTTACTTTATTAAACATTTCTTTCAATGTAAGTTGTTTCATTTTATGTGATAATACTTTCTCTTTAATTCTATAAACAGACATAATTTCTTGTTCAGTTAAAAAGTTCCGCTTTTCAAGTCCCATAATTGCTGTGCCGAGAATACCGACTAACTTGTCAATCGAAATTTTTTCGTTTTCACTAACCTCTCTGTTACCTTCTTCATGTCTTTATCCATTTTTTGCAGCAATTCCACTTTTTGTTTGACGGACATCGAGACATACTTTCGTTTTGTAGATCCTTTGGGAGCTCCAGAATCGGAAATTGACATAATCGAAAGTTCAAGTTTACTTTTATAAAATTGCTCTTACAGTCTGCAAAAAATAATAAGCTGCATCCAATTCGAAGAATAACGCAAGGCATCAACATTAACTGAAATAGATAATTGTATAATTTTAACTTATACCGTCCATTATATGTTAAATGTGCACGCGAAAACATATTCTGCACTTGCGCACACGCATATGCGCGTGCGCGTAAAGGTCTTACGCACACGCGTAAACGCCTATGCGTATGTATCAACACGGCGCATGCACAGAAAGTTTTTAGCTTTGAGGTCCGGATTATGGGTGTCCGAATTAACGACTTTTGAAATGTAATTATTTCCTCTAATGAGCCATTAAATTGTAGAATGTTCCGTGATTAATATTATTCTTGAAAACTAGATGTGTTTAGTTAAAAACTGCGCAAAACTCATTTTATTAATTTCAGATGCATTACTTTATAAACTTACATACTTGCACATATTAAATTTAATTTACACTTTGTCAAAACATAATACATTTTGAAAGTTCTATGACATATATTGCATATATACAATGGATTTATAACTATGTAGTAATTGTAACTAATAGTAAACTGTAAATAGTAATAATAAATGTAAATAGTAAAACACTATGTCTGCAATTAAAAGAAATCGCATATTATGTCTATCTTTAGAAAATGTTTTGAACCAAGGGTGCTAACTATGGTACCACAGAATTATGAATTCAGAGCTGCATACATTAAGCGTGTTTGCGGAGCCGTGATTGCAGAGAGGATATAAGCAGATTGTGATTCGTGTGCTCATTCTCGTTCACAACATTCACCATGTTTTTCACAAGAACTGGGCAAATTTTATACGGTAAAATGCAGGGCTGTGGAGTCGGAATCGGAGTTAGGTAGATTTTTGGGTAAACGAAGTCGGAGCTGAAGTCACTAAAAACACATCGATTGATGTCATATTTGCCATTATTGATTAAACTGATTCATTTAGTTACTTCATTTAATTACAAATCTCACTGGTAAATTAAGGTAAGCAGCAATAGCAGCAAGAACTTCCGAAATTGATGCCATTCTTAGGAAGCAAGCAGGAAAAGGAACAATTATTGATTAAACAATGCAATGGGGAAGTACATATTTGATGATATAGAGGTTGTAAGTTTTATCTATTTATTTTTAACTAATAGTTGATTTTAAGTTTAAACGACTTTCCTATTATTCTCTTTTCATGCCAGAATGTAAATGAGAGCGAGAGTTCATTCAGATTAAGGTAGAATGAAGCACTATTTAAGCAAGAGTTTTGGAACTTAGTTTTAGAGGGTGTCTCCCTATTCCATGCTATGTTGCGCTGTGATTATAAGCAACTTGTGTCAGTGGCATTGAGTGTTCCAGCATTAGGCTTTGTCTTGCCAGTTTATTAAAACCAGAGCTCTCCCTGCATGTTAAAGTATTCTGTGAGCCATTAGGTTAAACTATCACATTTTCAGCCTACCATACCTCGAAATTATTATTGCTATATAGCTCTGTTAAGCCAGAAGTGTTTGGATTATTGTAATCCAAACGGGGTCATTTGTTAATTTGTATTCAAATAAAAGGGTCTTATACACCCTTCTTCGGATTTCTCTTTTGTTTCACAAGGCTAGAATATGATTATTCAATACTCCTTTATTTAAAGTCTAATTTATATGTTCTCCAAGAGACATAGACTTTCCAGGGTAATTAGAATTAAGAACGTTTTTAGAAGACGTAGATAACACTAATGTTTCACTAACAGAAAGACTGTGGAATGATCTTGCACAATTGGAAACTTCATTCTACACTATATATAGCCACAAAAAAGCTACAATCTGAAGAATTAACAGGAGGTGAGAATGGATGAATATGATGTTTGTTCTTTCTGAAATGGAGGGCGGGCTTATTGCAGAAGGTATCATTTCTTCAATAAAAAAAAATAAAAACTAGTTTGCTAGACAATGACATCTTGCTGGATTTAAAATATGTACATCCAAAACACAAAATTTTGTTGGATGACAAATTAAAAAGGCAAAGAAAGCAATCTATGAACTTTCATTAAAAATGAAATTATTCTCAAAAACAATTGGATTATTCAAATCAATATAGTCAGACTGCAGACATTGCAACTGAGTTTCTATCATCCTCTTCCAGTGATGAATTACATTTTGAGAAATATTTGGATAATACTGAAAAGGCTAAGGCAAAGTAAATGAAAATAAAGAACCAAGAGCCTTTAGATACAAAAATGAAAAAATACAAACAAGATTTCTACACGGCCTTTGAAAAAATAGAGAAATATGATTGCTCTTGAAAGACACATCTTTTAGAACTTATAAAAAATCCATCTTGAAAAGTTAAAAGGAGTAGCCCTAACAGTAATAGCTCTTCGTGCAACTCAAGTTACTGTGCAAAAAACTCTTCTCGGCTCAGACATTTATCAAATCGGATCCGCAGTCCTCTTACAAAGACCTTGATGAAGTTATACAGTTTCTTAGAAATAACTAAAGCCAGATTTTCCCTTTCATAATAAATGCTAATTAATATAAATAATTTGCTATGCCATCCTTTTCCCCCCTGCAGCATCTATTACTTCTTTTATATTAAAAAAAAATAAGCCGTAACACATGCGTATATATTTACAAATATATGAGGGAAATGGAGTCTAAGTTTAAAATTCCAGGAGTCGGAGTAGGTCTTTTTCCCTACCAAATCCACAGCCCTAGTAAAATGAGTAGTCACAAACATACGAATGATGGAACAAGATAGAGAATTGTTGGTAGATTGGCAGCTGACTAATCAGAAGTACAGGTGGCTATATAGCTCAATGTAATGACCAGTTTCATGTGAGAATCTGCAATTTGTGAAACATCTAACATCTGCAATTTCTGGGAAGAGTTTTAAGACACTGGATCAACATCGAGAAAACCTGGACAATGTCAATCAAGATCCACAACAATAAATGAGGATTATCATTTGCTTCATAACTCTCACATGGGCTGTATACTGCCACTACAACCCAAGCTTCATATTCTATAGTTGCCCGAAGGCTTCATGAGATATGATTGTATGCTGTAAAAGACCCACTGTTTGCATCCTGCTCACAAGACAGCGTATTTCACATAGTGCAGATAACATGCACTTTGGACCATACGTCACTGCAGCACCATGCTTTTTCACAAATGAGTCAAAAATTCAGCCTGGACACTCTGCGCATACCTCTATCTGGAGAGAGCCTGGAATATGATGTCATCCCTCTCCTCATCAGGTAAAAGAATCAATACAGCGGTGAAGGTGTAATGGTTTGGACAGACATTATGTTGGATGACTGCATACCACTGCATGTGTTTTACAGGCTCCCTGAATACTACAAGGTACAGATAGGAGAGCTTAAAGGCCTATTTGTAACTTTTCAGGGGTGCAGTTGGTGCTGGGCCCCTGTTAATTGCCATCAATGCTCATCCACATACGGCTCAGCTGGTTGATGTTAGCTGGAAAGTGAGGATATTCACCTCATAGACCGAGCAGCCAGATCTTCTGACCTTAATCCTATATAATATGGCATTGACTGCCACAGGAACTCCTCAGCTGCCTTTTGCCCAGTATGCTGCCACGCTGCATGACCTGTTTGGCTGTGAGATGGGACCATATCCCCTATTAGGCTCATTTTTAGCTCAATATCACAATAGTTTAATTCAATATCACAAGGAAACTTAATAATTAATTTCCAGTATTGAAATTCCACCTTAAAAATACATATGACTCAAATATAAAAGCAGAAATACTCTGAGGGCATCACATTCAGGTTTGAAAGAAAAAAACAACTGCAGTCATAGAAAGGCAACATCAGATGAATATTTTATTCTTCTAAGCATTTTATTTCTAATTTTCTACATATAAAAAAAGATTGCAACTGATTTAAAATAATTTAGTAAAAGCTCAGCTAGACAGCAATTCAGTATGCACTGTTGCTAAGAATATGAATATTATACACTATGAATGTTACTTAATTACACTTAAAGACTAATTAAATACACTGAAATTATTACCATGTAATCTACATCATCTATGCTGAAACGCTCTCTTAAATTCCTGAACACTAAGGGGCAATACTCTTTGACTTTAAAATGACTTGGCATGCTCTCTCTGTCAAAGATTTCAAATTAAATTACTAATAATAAAAACACAAGAACATCTTAAGTTAGATATTAGTATAAAGCATGAAATAAACACTCCAACAGTAAAAATCACTACATAAAATCCAATATATTTACTATTACTTCGAGAATACATACTGAAGTAGGAGGAAAACCAAGTACACCAGTATAATAATTGTACATACTTCATAGAAGTGCAGACTTACAAAGAAAAAAAAGAATTCCACACGTATATGATAATATTTTGCATGTAATAAACACAATACAAAGCAGTCCATACTTTTGTTGCAATCAAAGATGTAGAAATTTTACTTTCCATGGCATTTTGCATGACATCCTTATGTACTGATTTGGTGACCATTTAAAGACTCCAAACTCAGATTAGAGTTCTAACCATAATTTGATATCTCTAGAATTGTATGTCTATGCATTGCCCTGGTAGAAGCTAATTCCATCTGCATAATTATTGCAGAGCATAAAATAGAACAGCTTATCAGTAAGGATGTTCACATACAATTAATCTATTCGAGATGTTTTTGGACATATCAGGAATTCTATCATAAAATATTTGAGATATCTATCACTTTATATATACACTAAGATGTATATAACTAGTAGCAAGCATAAGTAGTGTTATTACACACTTTATATAGGTTTATCTATACCAGTTTTTTGGCATTTCAAATTACATGCTCAGTTATTAACATGAACTGTTTTACTTCCCTCTATGGTAATTTCTCTCTACAGTCAGTCATAAAATTATCATAATAAAAAATATAATTGTCTTTGAAGCTACTTTCTTATTAAATATGTCTATCAGATAAGGAAAATGTTAATTATAAAAAGTTATTAATAATAAATTCAATTATACAAATACTCTAATTTGTAACAATTATTTTAAATGTACAAAATATTGTTTTGAGACTAATAAACATAACTCACTTGTTAAAATGATGATTATCAACTTTAATTTTACTGAAAGCTTTAAAATCATCAGGAAGAAGCATCACAGGTACATTTACGTGAGTCAATTCATTTATCTGAAAAATTATAATACTTGATTAAAAGAAGCCTGAAAAATATTCACAAGGAAATAATATATAAGAAAATTGGCCATTTGTAACTGGGCAAAATGATTAGCTACATCAACAGTTTACATTGAATCAGATATCAACTTATACAAATTTCAAAGTGGAATTATTAAAGTTTTTCATTCTATAGCAAATCTATAGCAAAGCATCTCATTATGCAATCTGCAGTTTGAAAATTCCCATTTATATTTTCCATAAAATTACATATGCACATTATTTGTCTAGATAAATTGTTCAATCACAATGAAAGTTAACATAAACAGAGATGAAAAAGCACTTACACCAGGACAGCAATCAGATAATTTACTGTACAAAAAAATAGGTCCACTATTATCATATATTAATATGATATATAGCCATTGACAGTACAGATTCAGTCTAGCCCAAATTCATACAAAATCAAATACTGGGCAGGAGAATTTGGTACCAAATATTCTGCAACTGCTCAGCACTGCACTGACAAGATAGTGATTAGTGACACTGATTGCCATACTGATCATGCCCAGGTTAGATTCTTGAAAAAAGTACATTTGCAAATGTATAGTACCTGCGTGGCAATGAGGCACTCAAAATACGTGGCGAGCTAAAAGTCCTCTGAAAAGGTTGGCGATAGGTGAATGGGGATACAAGACCCAATAGTAAAAGTCACTTATTAGACAGCTTATACCCCAAGATCCCTGGGGATCCTCTTGGAATTCCAAACGAGGATGGAAGTTTAACTAGTTAGCTAAGTTCTGAAATACCTCAATTATCTATGGTACTCTAGAAATATTGGTCTGTGATATGTTACTTGCAGGCAAGCAGAAAAAGCACCAAGGCATTCAGAAGTGTGGGAAGGTGTCAAAAAAGTTTTGGTTATCAATAGATAGCTTGTTCAATGATTTGTTAAAAGGTATTTGCATTGCAGCATTACATAGGATCTTATGATGCAGATTAATTTTGAAATGACTCAGTTTACTTTGATATATTATAAATAGTTATTATTTTTATGACAAAAAGGGAAAATACAAAAATTAAAATGAAGAATAAGAAATATTAGAACTCGTTTTCAGAAATTATTTCAGTTTTCCATGCACAGGAATTAACATTTATGCAGTTACAAAAATCAACATTTATTCATGCAGTAACATCTTTTGGAACAACATCATAAAACTCCGAAATTCGAAATTCCAGTCTGAATTTCTTTAGACTTCTTTTCCTCAAGAACTGTTAGTTTTAATCTCTCATGTCCTCAGTAGAATTCCTCTTAAAAACGCATATTTTGTCCATGTAGCCTCTGCATTTTGCACTGGCAATGCAGCTGTCAAGTGGACCACAAATTCTTCATCTAAGACATGACTTCTTGCAAAAGGTAGATTTCAAATGATTTTTGTCTGTGGGTGGGTCTTTAAACATTTATTGCAATATCAAGAGTCTGCAGATAGGCAATCATTCCTGCAGGAATTGTTAAGCACTACACAAAGCAAATATCCACTTACCTTATTCAGAAATTCCTTTGTCTTCAGTCTGTGGCACACAAAATTCCTTAACAGCACCCAAAAACTTCCTAAAATTATCTAAAATAAAATCTGTATAATGGTGTCACCACATAAATTCACAAAAATAAGAGTAAAAAATATTATACGTAGTTCCGGACTGTCCGGAAAATGGCTCCTAAGTAAACCTTCATTTACACACCAGTCAATGCACTTTTCCCCTTTTGTTCCAAATCGTAAAGAAACTTCAAATTAATCTTACTACATTCAGCCATTCTACCATCTAAACAATGAAACAAACAATATACTTCCTAACAACACACACCAAAAAACCCTTACAAAACATCCCATGATTCAAAATTTCCCAGAATAATGCAAAATAGAGCTATTAGAGATATAGTAGCTGTAGTAGCCCTTCATAGTAGCCTTAATGCAAACGATTATGCCATAATGGGGTTTCCATAATTCACGTACTCAGGTTACCACAAACGAAACAAAAACTTGGTGATAAATGAAACAACTTTGCGATAATACAAGGGGTATCCTAAAGTAAACTTTAAGCGATTTAAGAATTTTGAAACTGGAGCTAATATCAACACTATGGAAGGTATGTGGGGCATAATAAAAAGGGATTTTTGAAAGAAATGCTACTGACAGTCCAGAGGATATTTTTAATTTTTACTTTTGTGAATTAATGCGGCAACGGCAATATACAGATTCTAGTTTACATAATTTTAAATAGTTTTGGGATGCTGTTAAGGAATTCTCTATGTCACACATATCAACGAAGCAGAAATTTTTTAATAAGTCGATATTTCCTTTTTGTACAGCGTAAATTAAATAACACGTATTTCCATTCTTATATTACTTCCTTGTTTGATTTAAGATGCAATTTATTGAGATTATACATTTCTTGTTTTAATTATATTTTATTGCATTATATTTTGGATGCCACTTTACTTGAGAGGGCATTGGACGTAAACAGGAATGGTGCCAATTTTCGCCAAGGGGTACCCTGAAATATATTTTTACCACACCAGGCTTTATTAATAACAGCTAAGCAATGAAAAGTATTAAATTATTCTTCAGTTTTAACTGTATGGTATAGGTTACTTTTAAAATACCTTTGAAAACCATATGTTATCAACTTGAATATTTGTAGCTTGAGACATCATTCTTCATCTCATGCAATTTTTTTTTTTAATGCATGTTCAGATAATTTGTTTATGAACCAAACTGTTTGTGAAGCAAGGTATTCATGATATGAGTTTCCACTCTGTGTATATAAATATATGGAGCTATCTAGCATAACCCTTTTATCAATTTAAAACAAAGCATTTAAACATAGTGATATGACTAGTAAAAAAAAAAATAATTAAAATACACAATTACTATCATTATAACTTTCTGTCCTATATTAGGCAATCATCTTAAAAAGCAAAATTACAAAAAAAAAAAAAAAAAAAAAAAAATATCACAAGTTCAAATATGACAAGAAAATAATTGACAAATACATATATACATTAAGTTACATTAAATTGATAGATATACATTAAGGTATGCTCAAGAAAGAAAGATATGCTAAACTAAAACTGAAAGAAAATATGAAACTCTGCTAGCTTATGAAATGTTTGAGTAGCAGAAAAGATTTTGATCTAACCTTAAGGCCTTGTGTTTTGTGTTTTTGATGATAAGGCATTGTGTTGTGCATTTCCGATGATTTAACCTTAAATTTGCCTTAAGTTTGAATATTAGTTCTGTACTAGGATCCAGTATCTGTATACCCACCTAATTACACCTATAATTTCATTGCTATAAAATCATTAAGGATAATGTTAATGCAGAAATACATATTCAGGAAGCATCAAACAATAGACTTCAGATATATGCAATCAAAGCACAATAATATCCCAGAAATACTACTAATTTAACTGCAAGTTTTAATTTTCACTCCTATCAGTGAATTACAAGCAGTAACAAATGCACAAGATAAAAAAAACAAGCTATATAACATTTTAAATTATTAAAAAAACATACTGTATGATTGATGCCCCACATGAACACACTGAGCAAGGGTTCATTAGCCCTAAACAACTTCGCTTTCTGGTATTTTGGCTTGAAATGTTTCTTTTTTAGTTTACTACTACCTTTCTGAGTAAGGGAAGCCATCTACAAAATAAATATAATTATATAACATAAACACAAATACCCAATATTTAATAGCCATATTTCAGAGAACAATTACTTCTATTCTTTTGATAAAAATAGAAGAAGAGAAATATTACAATTCTATTTATCAGCTTATATCAGAAAGGTACATTGAAAATTTATAAGTAATATCTCATTATTAAAAGTAAGAAAATATTCTATAATTAAAAATGAAAAAAACTAAAATACTATATTAAATCTAATCTATAGCCATTATAACTATACATGCTCAAAAATAATATAGGTTTAAATGATAATGTTATGTTAACAATGTTATGTATTAACTAAACAATATTTTCTTCATAATTAAAGATATGGTAAAACTTGATTAAATATTTTAACATTATAAATTAAACAGAAAATACCAGAATTGACTTTTAATGTCAATAAAAACATGAATCTATCAACAAAAGCATGAACTATCTGTATGAATATTTCATTCTTTATGAACAACTTTACTATGAAATGAAAAATATGTCATGTACACACTCCATTCTTAATATAATTTTTTGCTTCAAACAATTGCAAAACACCAGAAAATCCATTGTTCACAACATATCATGTACACAGGAACATATAGGGAAAAGGGGGGAGGAACATTTTTTCAATGCATCAGCACCTTGTAAGCTACTCTAAATATTTAGAAAAGACATTCAAATTTAACGAATAATACGAGTTTACTTACAAATGTCTCCACTACTATTATGAAAATTTAACTTCTATAATGAGACTATTGTATTAAGATACAGACAGAAATTTATAAATGTAACAAGCATATCATCTAACAACTCTGATGTACATAGACTTCCAAGAAAAAATATAAAGATGTTCATAAATTATACTTCTCTTATAATAAATAACATCTAACAATGCATTATTAAAAAAACAGCTTAAAGAATTTCATAATATTTATAAACTTTACTTAAAAAGCTAATTTGAAAGTTAGGTCAGTGAAGCACTCAAAAACACAAAAATAACATGAACTACTTATTCTATTAGTTCAGAATTGTCAGTTAGAATTTCAAATTCCGTTCTTCACAGCTGTGACTCATAAATTTAATGATGAATTTTCAAGGTTCAAATTTCTTCATTTTAATTCAAAAATGTAGCTGCTAACGAATAATCTTATATTTATACCAATTGCAGATCATTTTGAACAAATAAGTAATTGGAAAGAAAATACAAATTAAAACTATTATGTATACCAAATTAACTGCAAGAAAATTAAAATATAATGACTTTAAAAATTTCATTTATGATTACCGTTAAAAATATTTACATTAAAAAAATACCATCAAACATTAGATGACAAACCAGACAAACTAGTATGTATACATTAAAAATATTTTAAATGCCGTACAAATTAATAAAGCACCTATAATTACTTTAAATATGTCCCTTATGAGTAGTATTCAAGGCAATTTTGAAATATGACGGTACTCAATTGATATTCGGCACCGAGATACACACATTTAACTCCTCAAAATTTCCCGACATTTTTCCTATTGATGTTTCGCTGCCATCATTTAATTTCATACACCTGACCAAAAATCGTATTACTTCTGGTATCACTATTACTAATAACAAAATAGAAGTTATATCAAAGTCAATAAAAATTTGTTTAAAGTCCTGAGCAATTTATTTGTATAGTAGCTATTTATGGGAACATAAATAATCAAAAATGTTTGAATTCAAGGAGTATTAAAAATATTTCGATACAAGTTGTTTAGCACATATTTTAAAACAATGTTTTGTAATATATAGAAGGTATCCCCACAGCCAAAAGTCGCAAGGATTCAAGTCGGGAGATATAGGAGGCCAAGCTTAAAGAAACTGCCGGCTGATGATTCTGTCATCACTGAAATGGCGGCGGATCACTCGTTTCACACAATGCGCGATGTGTGGAGGTGCACCAACCTGCATAAACGCTGTGGTTGTATCACATCGCCTTGCCTGAAGAGCAGGAATATTGGATTGCTCTAATAATGAAGCCTGTCGTTGACTGATGACGGTGCATGTCACAGGCCCTGCGACGCTGTGTTCTTCGAAAAAAACGGACCCACAATGTATGTTGCAGTAAAGCCTCACCAAACCGTTACATGCGAAAAGTGTAATGGAATTTGTAGGAATTGATGTGGGTTTGTAGCAGCATAAATACGGCACTTGTGTATATTAACCGCACCTTCGATATGAAAGTGGGTCTCGTCGGTCCACAAAATGTTCAAATGTTCCATGCTATTCATCCTGGAGCTCAACTTGCCCAAGAAACCGCAACGCAAAAGTTTGTCGATTATCCAGATCAGCTGGTAACACACAGATCGTATTTTATTCTCGAGTGTCAAGATCTGTCACTCGAGAATAAAATACGATCGTGTCATCAATCTGGAAAGAAAAGAAAGGAAAATAGTGAAGTAGGAGGTGTGGGATGGGGAAGAGAGTCAGGTCCACGCCAGCGGCGGCGAATGGGGGGGGGGGGTGTTAGCAGCATGGAGGTAGGAAACTTACTTCCTACCTCCATGGTTAGCAGTGGGGGGTTAGCAGCGGGTGAAAGTCCGCAGAGTCAATTTAGCGTGAATGAGTCAATTAAGATTGTAAGAGCTGCTGGGCTAGCGGCAGTCTATAGGTATAGTAGCGTAAGACCTTTTGAAGAATCTTATGAACCGTGGAACGAGGTTGGTCAACAGATGTTACAATAAGCCGAACATTAGTGCTGCCGATGGTTTGCGATCTGTCTTCCTCATCATCCACTATCTGCTACATCATCCACTATCTGTGCTGCAACACACTTTCGTCCCTTTCCTGATTGAACCTCCAATGTTCCCGTTGCTTCAAATTTCGTAATCATGTTTGTTAGTCTTTGACTAGTGAGTGGACCTTTTCGTGACCGCTTCAAAGACCGAAATTTCCGCAAAGCTTCGGTAGCAGAATCTTCGTTTTAGTAAAACAATTTCACCAGTAAAGCACGTTCCTGGAGAGTCAAATCATCTTCCTTGACTTCAAAACGAGTATGACTGTGATTCGCCTCTTGCATCTTTATAGGGTTGCTGTGCGCGCACAGGATTACTATGGTTAGGACATTTGCATATGCCAATAGTTTATATTGCACAACGCCATCTAGTAGTGTTTTTGAAACTAATTGGTTTTTTTTTCCCCTCGATAAAATTCCCATCATTTCATTCTGCTGTTACTCAATTTTCATGCTCTTCTGCTGCATAGTTTTTGCTACAGACTGTTCGCAAATTTCAAGTTTGATTATGGACACCCTGTATTAATTTGAAAAGTGATACATCATAAAAAACATAAGAAATTTTGCAAAAATTGCATTATCAAATGGATACGTTGTCGCGTACGGTGAAAAAAACGGTCAATAAAAGAAAATAGTAAACAAGTAATTTTTTTTCTGTTATTGGATAGAATATCTCTACTGAGAAATGGCAATAGTTAATTCTAGTCAAAGAATATTCTTTAGTTCTGGTTGTCATTCCGTTTACGTACCAAAAAGATTTCATGTACGATGCAATATGACCGGCTGTTATGCAATAAGTTACGTGTAGGCTTAATAAGTTACGAGTCCGTTTTATCGTTAAATAAATGTTTGTTGCTTTTTGAAAACGCCTTGTGAATAATTAATTTAAATGCACAGGAAGCAGACACATCATGCAGTCCAGCCAACAGTTCGTGCGGCCTTCGTGGAGCAAATATTTTTATTATTGGATAAAAAGGAATATAAAAGTTCTTAATGCATGATCTGGAAATATGAAGTGATTTAATTCATCTATAAAGAATATCTTCCCCTTATGACTTGCCACATCGACATTTTTCGCCTGCGGGCGTGGTGCCAATGCACCCTTACTAATTAAAAATTAAAAGTGAGCGGCCTTCGGCTTTACTAAAGCTTATATAGTTGATACCTAAAAAATGAAAAGGATTATCTTAATCTAGAAATATGAATGTTCATAAAGCACATTTATTATACTTTTTTAAATTAAAATATCTTTTTAATTATAAAACTATTACTAGAGATGAAGGGGCTAATAGTTTTAAATAATAGTTTTTATAATTAATTTGATCTTATTCGAATATCTATTTCATGTTTTGTAAAGCATTTATGAGTTTTTGTTTAAGAAACTCAACAATTTCAAAGCAAGCAATAGCAACACTGTACAGAAAAAAAAAAAAAAAAAAAAAAAAAAGGAATAAAAAAAAATATCTCCAGCGCTTGAGACTGTATCGGAAATTCTGAAGATATGCTCTTTTTGAATTATTTTGCAATACTGCTGTTGAATTGAATTTTATGGTTTAAGTGAGAAGAACATGATATTTAATAAATAAAAGTAACACACAAATCGTGGGGAAAAAAAGAAAAAAAAAAAAAAAAAACTGCTGGTTTAGGCGTGGTGTAAAATCTGAAAGATCTTTCAGAATTTCTTTTTTTTTGGGGGGGGGGGGGGGGTATTTGTTTTTAATTTTGTATTTGTTACTACTGTGTTTTTTAATTTGAGCATAAGAAAGTATTAAAGCTCAGCCAGAAAAAAAAAAAAAAAATGATGACAAGAGGAAACCAGAACAGCTAAGTGCCCGTGTTCTGCAGGAGTCTGTGTGCTATATTTAATTCTGCAACTTCGCAAGAATTGCTTGTTGGTAAATAAAATTTGAAGGTAAGAATTGTTAAGTAATTATAGCAATTGATAAAATACTAACTGTCTATATATATTTTTAGTTAAAACAGATAAGAATAAGCAACACAGTAGGGGCCCGAAAACGAAAAGAAAGAGCAGGCAGAAGAAACAAAAGTCTCAAAATGAGACAACTTTGGTATTAAAAACATCATACTCACAAAAAGACATCCAATAAGGTTAGAGAGACGGAATAAAAAACTGTATTATCGGTGGAAGGTGGTCTCTTACTAGAAAGGCTGACCATAAACATATAGAATAAATAATTACTTACACATCAACAGGCTCAGATAATTATGTAAGTAAAAATATTATTGGTGATATGAAACGGTTTCTAATTGATTGTGAAGAAAAACTTAGGGGCCCATTTCCAAAAGATATTAAATAAGAAAAGAAGCATTTTATTGCAACATATTATACATCCATGCAAGGGCGGGTTAAGCCAGTTGGAGGCCCCGTCGGTAAAATGCTTGGGTAAATATAAAATGCTATAAAAATATTTGTGTACCTATACCCTTGAAACACAATTAGAATTATTAATATTGTTATAAAATTACGATTTAATGTTTTTATTTTAATATTCTTACATTATTTCCTTCGCACATCAAGACTAAAATACATAAAAATTAAGTATTGTACGGAAAAGTACAACATAAAACTGCTAACATATTTTATGGAATATTTTAAAAGTAAAATAATTGACTATTAAATTAGATTACTAATTACTGATATACACTGGTGTGCAAAAATTAAGGACGAGGCGGTTTTTTCAATATAACTTTGTACAAAAGCTTTCCAAATCAACACATTTAATACCGTAAGATCCCCAATTTGTAAGGACATGAGTAATGTAAGCAACACTTACTAAAAGAGAAATAAGAGGGATAAAAAGAAGCTTTATTGAAAAAGTAGCATGGAGCGCAATGCGACTGAAGGCCGAAACATCCCCTGTGATGGGTGTCCAGCAAGAAACATCCGGTCTTTAATAGGGAATATGATCTCCCCTGACTGCTAGGCAGGTTTCACAGCGTCTGCCCATGCTGAGAATGAGGGTGTCAATGAGTTGTTGAGGCATTCCTGCCCATTCGTCTTGCAGCGCCAATCGAAGCTCCGGAATCGTCACTGGTGGTAAGGTACGAGCTGCCAAGTGTCTGCCTAGAAAATCCCATACATGCTCGATGGGATTGAGATCCGGAGATTGTGCCGGCCAATCCATACGTTCAATATCCTCACTCTCTAAGAGCTGTTCGGCAGCTACTGTGCGATGACATGGTGCATTGTCGTCCATGAAAAGGAACTGCGGACCCATAGCGCCTCTAAAAAGAAGCACATATGGAAGAAGAATCTCGTTACAATAACGGGTCCCGTTGACTGAACCTGCGTCGAAGATGTGAAGGTCTGTACGACTACCAAGCATGATGCCTCCCCAAACGAGAACACCGCCACCTCCATACCTGTCCCTTTCAATGATGTTCGAGGGATGATTGCGGCTTCCCCGCTCTCTCCAGATGAGTATGCGATGAGAATCGCTACTCAGACCGAATCTGCTCTCATCTGTAAAGAGTACTCGTCCCCATTCATTGTCTCTCCAATTCCGATGTTCCCGGCACCACAGAGAACGCCTTCTCCGATGGGCAGGCGTTAGAGGTACACACCGTACAGGGCGTCGTGCAAACAGACCACCACCGTGCAGTCTTCTGGCCACGGTAAAACGCGATATCGGTCGTCCAGTCGCCTGTGTCGTGTGTCTAGCGATTTCTCCCGCTGTCTGCCGCCTGTTTCTTCTGGCCTGTAAGGAAATATACCAGTCATCTGCGTGTGAGGTTCCTCGTGGACGACCACTACTAAACCCCCGGATAG